ATGCGAGCAAGCGTCTTTTCAAATCCAAAATGTCCAATGTCATCATGGTTACTTTTTAATATCTGCCATCTTGCACCCTTTGGAACCACCCAACGCTCGGCGTTGTCGTTGACAATACGGAAAACTCGGCCATTTTTCAATTTATAACTATTAAAAATTTCTACTATATCTCTAGTTTTTGGATCGTTTAAAATGGTTGCAATATTTTTGACTTCATCATCGGCTTGTTGTACAGTAGTAAGCCAGTCATCCGTATTAACAGCGAGAACATCAATTACGTGACAATCACTTGTTATTGTACCTACAGGACTCCTACTTAAGGCATCTACGTGTGCCATCCTATCCCCGGCTCTATACTCAATCTCGCAATCAAATTCTAAAAATTGTACCCACCAGCGAGCAATCCTTGGAATTAAATCCCGTTTGACAAGTGTGCTACGTAGCGCATTACAATCCGTGATTATTTTAAATCTGATACCTAACAAATAGACTCTGAATTTAGCTAAAGAAGCAATGACTGCGAGTGTCTCTAACTCGAATGAATGTAGTTTTTGCTCGTCAACGCTAGTCTGCCTACTGTAATAAGCAACTACTTTAAATATATCGCATTCATCCTTTTGCATAAGTATACCGGCTATTCCAAACTTACTTGCATCGGTGTGTAGTTCAGTTTCCGCGCTTGGGTTGTATAAAGTCAAAATTGGTCGTTCTATAAGACGCAATTTTAATGTTTCAAATGATTCCCTTTCGTTTTCACCCCACTTCCACGGAATATCTTTCTTTAATAAAGCTGTGAGTGGACGAGCTATTAAAGCGAAGTTTTTAACAAACCGTCTGAAAAAACTTGCGAGTCCTAAGAATCTTCGAACCTCGTGAATATTACGCGGAGTAGGGAACTTTTCTACGCCTTCAGTCTTGAGAGAACCTGGTCGTATACCAGAAGAACTAATCTCATACCCAAGGTAATCAATTTTATCGTAGAAAAAGTGGCATTTACTTAGCTTCAAAGTTAAACCATTTTCCTTTAATAGGTCAAGAACTTCCCTTAGTCTAACTAAGCCTTGATCAAATGAGCTAGACGGAATTAATATATCGTCCATGTAAACAAGAACATATGAACGAACGGGGGATTTTTGTATAATTCTGTTCATGGTACGTTGGAATACTGAGGGCGCGTTGACTAACCCAAATGGCATGCGATTGTATTCATATTGGCCATCGGGTGTCACGAAGGCAGTCTTTTCACGCGATTCTTCAGCAATTGGGATCTGATAATAGCCCGACGCAAGATCTAAAGTTATATAAAGAGAGCTACCAGCTAAAAGATCGAGTTGGTCTTCTATCCTAGGTAGGGGATAATGTTCCCGCTTAGTCTTTTTGTTTAATGCGCGATAGTCTACACAAAGCCTTTTCTCGCCCGACTTTTTGTTAACTAACACGATAGGACTAGCATATGGAGAACTAGACTCACGAATTATTCCATTATCTAACATTTCTTGTACCATACCTCTAACGCGCTCTCTTTCGGAAAAAGAGAGTCTATATGGACGATAAACAACTGGTTCGGAGTCTACCAGATGAATCACCATTTCGGTTTCTGTTGTAAACCCAAGTTCACTTAGATTATTTGAGAAACAACTTTTATATTCTTGTAGCAAACACTCAAGTTTATTTTTTTCTTCAACAGTAATAGTATTACCAATGTTAATTAGTGATGTATCTGAGAGAGATTCAGTTACTTCAATTTGGTTAATCTGCAAGATATCATCAATTTTGAAAGCTCGAGTAATTAAGTCGCCATATTTAAATGTAATATATTGTTCCCCAATATTTTGTACTAGAACACTTCCTAATCCTTCACTAATACAGTATTCACCTGGTAAAAGATAATGCTCTTTACTTTTATATGCTCTAACAGACCCATTTACATAAATCTTTCCCGAGTAGCTTTCGTCACTAGAAACAGGTATGGCTTTGATGTTTCCAGTTGGAATAGTAACGTCTTTGATACATTTTAGTACACATTTACTGGTTTTATTGTTGTTCACTTTTCGAAAAATTACATCAGTGTCAGTTTTAATTATTTGAATGGTTGGTCTTTCTGTAAATGTGTGTCCTAGGAGAATTGGGCTGTTAATGTGCAAGTCATCGACTATAAGTATTTCAACATTTTCCTCAGTGACTCCCTGAATCTCAATATTTGCGAAAGCTAAACCTATGGGACGGAAACGCGTGTTGCCAAATCCAGAAAGTATAGGCCCTTCTACCGGCTCCCATTTAACTTGCAACCGTTGTGCATCACTAAGTCGTATGAGCGTAGTTTCACAACCCAAATCTACTAAGCAATCCGAAATTTTGTCGTTAATTTTTAAGGGAATTTTGTATTTTAAACTAGAATTCTGGTAACTTTCAATTCTTAAAATTTTCTTAGTTTCATCACTGCTATTTTGATTTTTCTTTGGACAATTAGAGACAAGGTGGCGTCTGAAATTACAGTTCGTACATTGCAATTTGGGTTTTGGACAACGGTAGAAGGTGTGTCCTGTTTCGTTACAGTTATAACAGACTATATGAGTATAATTAGTGTTTTTATGGTTAGTCGTCTTGTCAATCAAAGAATTTGGGCCACCGTGCGGATGAGCACGTTTGTCCTTATCCTTGTTACGTATATCATTCGAGGTGTTCCTATCTTGCCCTACCCGTATAGTTTTTAAATATTTAAGAAGTTGTTCCGGTTCCGTATACTCTACGGCTTGCGCGCCTAATCGGACTCCCCTATCTTCGATACCGAAAATTAAGCAGTCAACGGCCTGTTTACCTTTAATATCACAACGATTTAAAAGATTCATTTTGGCATAGTAATACAATTCGAGCGATTCACCGTATCGAGCCTTTTTGTCTAACATTTCGGTGAGAAGTTCAGCATAATTTTCTCGCGATGGGAAAGATTCTTTAAGCTTAAATTTCCAGTCAGCCCATGATAATAAAAGCGATGACAACCCCTGATACCATGACTTCGCTATCCCTGTAAGTTTTGGCAAAGCATAGTGAACGATTTGCTTCTCGTCCCAGCTATATATTTGAGCACATTCTTCTATTTTATGAATCCATGAATCAATTGTTTGTTCTTTACAAAGTGGATCAAATTCGGGTACAACATTATTAAGAACTGGGAATTTGTCACGTTCTACAGTACCTTTGTCCTTAATACCTTGCATTACATTAATAAACTGTTCGAAAAATAATCGCTGAGTATCCGCATACCTTGATTCACCTGTGAGGTCTGTAGCAACTGGAGTCACGCCTGGTGAAGCAGCAGTCTGCGCCATATGAGCCGTATGCACCACGCCCGTGGATGCCTGGGGCATGACAGGAGTATACGACCTTACACTCCGCGAGCGTCGCGGCCGTCTCGTTTCGTCGCGACCATGGTGCCTTAAACGCCTGGCACCGCTACGACTACGGTGCCTTGATCGGTGGCGCCTGTTACTCTTGCTACTCTTGCCACTCTTTGTATGCCTGCGGTGGCGAGAGTGACGACTACTTAGTGAAGAGTCACTCTCAGTAGACTGTGTTCTTTTCTTTCGTTTAGGCATTACCGTAGTTAACCTCAAAAAGACACAAAAACGAATATATAAATGACATGAAACTATACTCCAAATAAAGATAATAATCTAAAAAAAAATTGTTTTAATATTAAAACTACTCAAATGTTACTTTCATAGGATAGGTATCGAACTAATTCATTAAATTCCATTTACATTTCTTTTACATATTATGTCTACGAACATACTATAATAATATTAAATTAAAATATATTAAAAAAAAATGTGATTTTGATACCTATCAAAATGTGACCATAACAATCATATCTAAATTGGTATAATTAATAACTATCCTTTATTTTTATATGACAAAACCTTACAATTTCATTTAAAAAAAAAAAGAGGGTAAAAAAAATTATCCTTATATGAATCTTTAAAGAAAAGGGAAAATATTATTATTTCATACTCTTACACGTCCTCTTTTTTATTGATGTGGGCAGAGAGGGATCACATCGAAATAATATAATATCTCAGTGCGATCCCACTTCTGAGATGTTAAACGCCTTCTTCGCAGAAACCTGTAGTCTCAGACTGCACAATATTTATTTTTCAGCTCTACTCTTTGCCTTATTAATTTTATAAACTAGAATTGTAATTTAAAGACTTTTTATATTGTAACTATTATTTATTTGTTAACACACATTGTTATTTCTTATCTAGGCAACGGATGGCAATTGTTTTCCGACGCTTATTATCCTCAATTTCGAGTCAAAATAATATCTATATTCTTAATAAAATAACTATTTAATTCTGAGCGGAAAGTGTCATTTGAGATACCAAAATATTCATAATATATATAGTTTCGTGGTCTATTATATATAATATTTACACATATCCGCTCTATTGAATACTAAAAATATCTAAAGTCGGTAACACATTTATTATTCATTTCACTTTTCCGTGTCTGTTTCTCTTTTGTACACAGACAAATATATAATTTGAAAGTGAGGCTTTTTTTATTACACTTTACCAACGTTTTTCAAATAATTTAAAACGTAATTTTTAATTAAAAACGTATAAAATATATAAAAGCAAATTTATGCGACTTTGACAGTTTGACACTTCTTTTTCTTCTTTTTTACATATCAAACATTCATTTCATTTCATTCACCACTTGGTGGGGAAGGTTCGCTGGCGGAGGTGTTCCAGATGAATTGAAAAGTTCATTTATTTTTGTATCTTTTAATTACATATTTTAATTATTAAAGTCTATAAGGGTAATGTATGACATATATATTGACAAGTCCTTTACCCATCCTTTCTATATACTATATTTCTTCGTCAAAGTTCTCATCTTTTTAGTTCACTTTCTACGCAGTTGGTTTTGTTTTTATTTTTGTAAAATATTTTTGTATTTAGCTTAAAGAAGGTTTCATCTTTTTTTTTTGTTTACAGATCACGACGATGAATCTGACAAGCCAAAAAAAGGAAAGCGCAAGAAAAATAGGTGGGTGTTATTATATTTTAACTAGCATTTATTTATTGTACACTTTGAAATAAATAAACAGTTAGTTGATGTAGTAGGCAAATATGTGACGTCACAAGTTGCTATGGCCATATATATATACGGCTGAAGGGATTGGTGGTATCAACTACCCCAATTATTATTTTTCCCACACAATGAAAATATTTATCTTTTTAATCAATAATTAATTTAAATACTTAAATACAATATTAAATAAATTAAGATTTTGCTAATGCTCTTCAAATAATACAATGTTTAGTTTACACTAAGTTTGTAACCGTTAAAGATTCAATTGAATTCATTATTATATGGTTTTTATAGATGCAAGTTTTGCAACCTTTAAAGATATTACAAACGATAACAATGAACTACGCATTGGGAACTAACTAAATAATCATTTACAGATCCTCTGATGAAGAAGACGCGGACTATGATGGGTAAGTACAGAGCTTAAGAAATTAATTTATATAAATTGTTTTAATTTGTTCTCTTGAATGCAGAAGACGAGATATGGAAAAAAGCGCTAAACAGTCATTTTTTTTTAAATTAATTCATGATATCTGCCTTTGATTGGGTTTTAGTCACGAAATGATACTCTAATTTAAATATTTTCTATAAAATATTTGTAATTCAAAAAGTTTAAGAAGTTCGAAAATAATTTTAAATAATGATATTATTATTTGTTTTCTTCTGTTATATCTTTTCCTCTCGCGGTGTGGTCGTTAGATGGCTTTGAATGTCAGATAAAAATACCGCTTGTATCTTAATCGCAGCACTCGAGATATGTAGTATTACAGTGTCCCAAATGATCATAACCATTCATATCTCTAGATTTTGTTTATTTCTAATATAAATTTTATAAATAAACATACAAATAGAAAGAAACGTTGTGGCGTATTAAAATTAAAATACGCACTTTTTACGCGAGTAAATCTACCTAAACAAATGCGTCATGAGATAGAATCTCCTACACACAAATAGTATATTGTATACATAGAAAAGTTAAAAAATTAATTTCATTGACGTATTATTTAGAAATGTTTTTTTCTTTTGCAGTCAACTTATGCATATTATATATAGTATAGTGTAATATTAATCTTAATCATATATATTTTTTGCTAGTATTTTTATTATATATTTGGTTATCTTTATATATATATTTATATATTTTCTATATTTATATTAATATTTAAGTAATAATAATTAAATATTATGTATGATATCGAATATATTTCTTGTTCTTCTTCGGATGATTTTGAAAGTGCTGAAAATAGTTTAAACGCTTCTATTTCGGATGAAGGTACACTTGAACAAAAACTGTCAAAGGTATTTCCAAATACGTGGGTGGGTATTTATCTGCGCAGCAATTTACCCGCCTGTGTTGTTAAACAGTCCATCTCACTCTCAACAGGCTCTCTTGAATATATTTTTTTGGAATTAGTTATTCACGGCAAAAAAATCCTTCTTGGTGTTTTGTATTGCCCAAGCGACAAAATTAATTATTTTCAGGAATTAGGAGATATTCTTGAGAGCCTTGTTCCCTGCTACGATCATGTAATTTACATGGGTGATCTAAATACATGTTTAATAAAAAATGACTCCAGGACAGAAGCATTAAAAGATTTAAATACCTCAGTCAATTTACATATTCTCCCTTTGATTTCCCCTACTCATTACTTTCCTAATTCTCGCCCATCTCTCATAGATATAATCTCTGTCTCTCAACCTACTCTCACTGTTTCGCATGGTCAAATGACTGCACCTTTCTCACACCATGACTTAATCTACCTCGCTTACAAATTGCGTCCTCCAAAGGTGAGAGGCAAGATTATACTTCAGCGCAACTTTAAGCTTATGGATCTGGACCGCTTGAGAGAGGATGCTAGAAATATTGACTGGTCTCCGATACTGTCAACAAATAACATCGATAGCATGGTTGACTCCTTAACTGCTGAGCTGATTAGGTTGTATGACAAGCACGCTCCGGTCCGACCGGTACGAATGAAACACGCTCCCGCCCCATGGCTATCACCTGCGATCAAGAGGACTATGGCCAAGCGTGATAAGGCCAAATCTAAGAACAAAAAGCACCCATCTGCCGAGAATCTTGATGCATACAAAAAATTACGTAACATCTGCAACAGAATGTGTAGGGATGCCAAACGCCGCTATATTCACTCAACGATTCAGGATCTTTGTCAAGCGCAAGTTTGGAGATTCTTATTGTCACTGGGTGGGCAAGGCCGCAGAAACTTATCAAAGTTCTGTGGATCTCAATGCTTTAAATTATAATTTTACCACTCCACCCATCAGTCTAGACTAGCATACCAAAACTCAAACTCTTTCATTTTTATTAAACCTCGCCCCCCTGACATACCACCATTCGTCTTTGAAACAGTCTCAGTAGATGATATAAAGAAGTGTGTCCGTTCTATTTCCACAAAAGCCATTGGTAGTGACGACCTCAGCCGCGACATGATTCTTCCGGTACTGGAAGATATTGCACCTGTGATCACTCACATTCTAAACTTCTCATTCACACGCAATGTCTTCCCGTCTTTATGGAAAAAAGCTTTCGTTATACCCCTACCTAAATCCCCGAATCCTAAGTATCTCACTCAATACCGTCCTATATCAATTCTTCCTATCCTATCCAAAGTCATAGAATCATTGGCACACAATCAACTTTACTCCTATCTATCCAACAATAATCTCTTATGTCCCTATCAATCCGGTTTCCGCTCCTCCCATAGTACAGTTGGTGCACTGCTGAATATCACAGAGGATATTCGTGGTGCTATGGATAAAACCAAGCTCACTGTGATGGTTTTACTCGATTTTAGCAGCGCTTTCAGCTCTGTGGATCTCGACATCCTATTGGGAACTCTTCGTGCGGTCAACATTTCTAGTACTGTTATAGACTGGTTTCACTCTTATCTCTTCGGACGCCAGCAGTGCAGTGAAGACCAACGATGCATCATCGGATTGGCTAGATCTTACTGCTGGTGTACCTCAAGGCGGCGTACTTTCTCCCTTACTTTTTTCAATATTTATTAATAACATATCAAAAGTCATTTCTTCTCCCTTCCATCTGTATGCAGATGACTTACAATTATATCGACATTGTGAGCTGACCGAGTTACATGAAGCTATTGATGCATTGAACTCGGATCTTGTGATCCAAACGTGGGCAGAGTCCTTTGACCTCCTTGTGAATCCCTGCAAGTCACAATCCATAATTTTTGGCAGTAGTCGACTGAGGTGTAAAATCGATTGGACCTCGACACCTACAGTCCAGTTCTCTGGTGTTCCTAACCCGTACTGTAATAAAGTAAAAAACTTGGGCTTAATTATGGATTGTAACATGACTTGGGCGGCTCATGTCATCGAGGTCAGCAAACGAATGCATCATACTCTTCACTCTCTCAAGCGTCTCCAATTCTTCCTCCCTTTCAAAACCAAGATTAAGCTTGCTCAGTCCCTTCTTCTCCCCATACTCGACTACGCTGATGTGTGCTATTTAGATGTGACTGAGGAGCAACTCAACAAATTAGAGCGTCTTCAAAATCTTGCTATTCGTTTTATTTTTGGCTTGCGTAAGCATGACCATATATCAAACTTTCGTGCTCAACTTAAATGGCTCCCAATCCGCCTTCGCCGTGATATGCATATCCTTTCATTCCTCTTCAATATTCTTAATGATCCCAATTCTCCTTCATACCTTTGTTCTCGCTTCCAAATTCTCCCTACTCCCACTCGTTCCAGGCGGCCTTGCATTACTGCGATGCTTGACATGCCCAAGAGCAACACTAAGTTCTTTCTACAATCTTTTTCGGTGTATGCCGCATTGCTGTGGAACAAACTTCCGAAAGACATCCAATTAAGTCCCTCTATAACTGCCTTTAAAAAGAAAATAAAACAGCACTTTCTCACCCAAGTTATTCCACAATAATTATATTAACTACTATTATTATGCATTATATTATATAGATATGTATTTGTGTATGTAGTAGTATGTACATATGTTATGGTATATAATATGTATAATGTTTTGATATATGTATATATAATATATATTTATTTAGGTATTTACATTTGAGTTACTGCACTTTAGCCTGCATTTTAATACTATCTCTCTAACTCACTTAGGTTGACTGGAAGAGATCTCTTCTAGAGAAAAGTCCACCTTTGCTAACTAGTTTTATTGTTTATTACTCTCTGTATTTTACATATAACTGCAATAAAGAATAGTATACTAACTTGTCATAAGTTCGATTTCTAAACATATAACCATTTGTGCTGATTTATCTGGTCAAGAAAGTGGTGTGGAGTTCGTTTTTAAACTAATAAACCATTTAAAGTACATACATACTAAACTACATACACTATAACATATAATATTAAATACATATAATAATTAAATACACAACTTATAGCAATTTCAAAGGTATATATATGTAATTCGAAATTTTTTCCAGTTCCAAGAAGAAAAAACGCAAGAAAGATAAGAAGCACTCTTCAAAAAGCAAAAAGAAGAAACGACGTGAAGAAGAAGACGACATGCAAACGATCAAAATTGATCTCACTAACACGTTAAAAGAACTTCGATCTAATTCCCCAACAAAAGAACTGGGATTGCACAATGTAGAAGAAGTTCCTAGTAGCAAAGACTCTTCTGACGAAAGAAAGAAGAAGAAAGAAAGAGAGTATAGTGAAGGAGAGTGGTCCAGTGATAGTGACGAAGACTCACTCTCTAGTGAAGATGACTGATATAAAGCAAAACTACCTCCTACGCATAACTTCACGCGGTGGAGATACTTCAACACGCTGTAACACGTCAAATATATTCTAAATAAATTTTAAATTTTAAAAGTAAATTTCGATGTCGTCGTTTTAGATTGATAGAAAAGGTAAATGGAAAGGTTTTATCTAATATATAAAATTCTCATGTCATATTGTTTGTAACAAATCTCCTCCGAAACGGTCGACCGATTCTTATGAAATTTTATATGAATATACAATAGGTCTGAGAATATAGGACGTAAATATCTAAAACTTAAGTATGGTTTTGTTGAGTTACATCAAAAAGTGTCATTAATTATTATAGATATAATATTTTTTTTTAATATTTGTGCTATAATTTATTAGGCTTACTCTGCATAAAAATGGCTTAACTGAATGGCTTTGAAAAGAAATTAAAATCATTTGTATATTAGTTTTGCACAGTTATAGCGGCTAATCTCAGAGACTTCCGAACTGATATATTATAGTACAGAGCGTGTGTGTAAAAGAGAGAGAGAGAGAAAACAATTGTACTCTCTATTGCTGTCACTCTCACACTCCGGTGGGACGACATGCGATATTTGCTGTTTGTTTGTTGTTAATGGTGAGAGATTACATATATATTACAAGGTAAGTACCCGGAGCGCGAGGTTGTACGGGTTGGCGGATTTCACATATCTTTCGAAAACTTAGGTTATTTTAGACGTGCAGTGTTCCTCACGATGTTTTCCTTCGCGGTAAGACAAGTGGTAATCATATTGAAAATGATTCGCACATGAAAATATCAGAGGTGCGACCCGGGACTTGAACCCGCTTCCCTCGGTTACCCAACTGAGCGCGTCACCACTGCGCTACCACTGCCTCACTGTTGAAGTGTTTATTTATTTTTCCATATTTGTATATTATTATATATCGCCTAAAGTTATGCCAATTTTGCACTTTTAGCCCTTTAAGTTTATGATAAACCAGTTTGAGTATCGAATTTTATAAGTCACAAGAATTTTAGTAATTAAAACAAAACAAAATATCATTAATTTAAGTTTTGTTTAGTCAAATATGTAAGTTGGTCATTTATTTGGTTTTTCATTTTTGAAGTTATACTTCTTTTGGCACGTTTTGAAAAAAATATGTAAGTAAAATTTTTACGATTCGCGCGCAAACCGACAGCCAATAAGCGACATGATGAAGTTAGCTGCATCTATTTTTGTTCTGTTACACCAAATAAGTATGACTTCTTACGTGCGTACATAAGTACACACACACGTTTTTTTTTCTAATATTGGTAAGGCCGCAGGCCGCTAGTTTGATGAAATCATATCAGTCAATATTTAAAAGGGCACAAATGAGTGTTAATTTTTTATCTTTCTACTTCTCAAAAATTCTATATTTATGTTTTAAAATAGTAATTCTATGTTACGAATAGATTTAATTGAAAAAGGTAGGGTACTTTTTAAGGTTCACGCGAGATTGAATCTGTATGGGGGAATCAAATTATCAAGATAACATCAGTTATGTTACAATAAAAAAAAATGTATAAATAATACTTTCTTAGATTTACGCGAATTGACATTATTAAATAAAACTATCTTTTCGGATTATTTCGCGGATTTATTTTGATTTTTGGTTCCCGACGTTTCGTTTGTCAGCAAAGCAAGTTCTGCGTGACAACAAGCTGCAAGTGCCGCGCCTGCGTCACAGTGACCGAGTGAAACCAGCCACAGTCGAGCGCGTCCCTGCAGTCATGCCATACATGAAAGGAGTCACTGACAAGATTGGCTACATTCTAAAGCGAGCTTCAATTAAAACCTACTTCAAGCCGCCAAAGAAAATTAGTCAGTTCTTACCACCTGTCAAGTGCCACATCCCTCTACAAGATGCAGGAGTTTACAAGCTTGATTGTGATTGTGGGCTCTCTTACATTGAACAAACAAAGCGATCCATTAGAACCCGGGTCAAAGAACACATAGCTGATGTGAAGCACCGTCGCAATGCAACATCTGCTGTCTGCAAACATAGCCAGGACCGCCCAAGCCATTATATTCGTTTCGATAGACCTCAAATCCTGGCGAAAGAAAACCGATATCGCCCTAGAATGATTCGAGAAGCCATAGAAATTAAAAAACATCCAAATTTCAATAGGGAAGATGGCTGGGTACTACCATCGTCATGGGATCCTGTTATTAATATAATAAAATCAAATAATAAATATAAACATAACAGACAGGCAGATGTAGTAAGTTCATACTGTGTAGATCGAAATGACAGCTTATCAGATTAATATTTTCCATTTTTCATTTGTAAAAGTAGATATTAATAGTGTTGCTTAGTAAGTTGTTTTTAAATAATAGCAAACTAAATTAAAATTATTATCCTTAATTAATTTTAACTTTTTAAATTACACATAGAACAATTATATGGCTTAAATAATTAATACTATATTTTATATTTTTCTTTATGGTTATAAATATAATAATGGCAACACTAAATATAGATTACTAATTAATATTTTAAAATTGTAATAATTATAAAAATAATAGCAAAAAAAATTAAATAAATAATTGTCCATATTCAATTATAATTAAAATTATAAAAATGTTTAAAGTTAAAAAAAAATATATTGTAATGTAATTGGTGCAATTTTCATTTTGTTAAATGTGGGTAGGCTGTCTGTAACAACTATACCTTCAAGACATGTAACACCTCAGTCTCTCCCGTGACCATGGATGCTGTAAAGCATTCGAAACGTCGGGAACCAAAAATCAAAATAAATCCGCGAAATAATCCGAAAAGATAGTTTTATTTAATAATGTATAAATTTAATTTGATACTCTTTTATTTAGAATTTCCTTTTATTTACTTCATAAAAGACAACAATTAATACATAATAGATATAGACATTTATTAGTACGAATGTATATAAGCAACTGTATGGCAAATGCTTATGACAAGATTTTCAATAAAATAATCTTTTAGAGCTGGTTTATATTGTATTGAATCACTTTTATAAAGAAGTAAATAGTAATAGATTCGAAGTGCATTTTTATATATATATATATATATATATATATACACACATACATACATACATACATACATATGTACATATATATTTATATATATAAATGTATGTATTATTGATTTTGTTTTACGATTAATATGTAAATGGTATTCCAATTTCAATAGATCATAAAAAGAAAATTTAGAAAATAAATTTTAAATTATACAGCATGTTTTTTTATCAGTGTTGTTTGGTGTTTAGTTATTTTACTTTAAATGAAGTTGTTTAATTATAATTAAAAACATGTAGTACAATTCAACTAGTACTGTTTACTACAATCTTTTTATAGAAGTCACGTGTAGAATTTAAGTTATGTCTAAACTCTTTCTATTGTATACTTTTGTAGATATCAAATAAAAATAATTTTTACTAAACCATGTTTTTTTAATTTTATTTTATTTATCTATACTTAATATTATAAAGAGGCAGAGTCTGTTTGTTTGTTTTTTTGTTTGTTTGAACACGCTAATCTCAGGAACTACTAATCCTATTTGAAAAATTCTTTTTGCATTATATAGCCCGTTTATTGAAGAAGGCTACTGGTTATATATCATATAATATATAGTCTATCTATTCCATACTAGCCGGTAAAAGTATCATATATTATTTTATTGTGTATTCTGTCACTTAGCTCTTATATGGTATATATCCTGCCGTTAAATATTTCATAGAATGTTCATATTCTAGTTTTTTTTTTCTTTTTATTATAAAAAGCTCGAGATATAGCTTTATAATTTGAACTTTAAATTTTTAAATGTTTTTTTTACATCCATGGTGTAATTAACATTTACATGTTAAATAACTCAAAACATAATATTTTTATGTTTATATACTGATATAAAAGTCGTATAATTTTAGGTTATCTATAATGTAATATAAATATTATGTAGAAATATTTGTATTATCTGTTATGGGCGCACCACTATTGTGGTGAACGAATTTGCAGATATTTGATTTGACCGCGTAATATTCTGCCTTTCTGCTGCTGCATTCTAGTCTGTTTTACAAATTCAGTAACGTCTCTAAAGTTTTATTGAGCTCGTTATAATCCTAGAAAATGTTCATTGTCAAAGTTTAAAATGTAAATATACATAGACGATTGCCTAAGTTGTACACAATCTAAGAATGCGAAAAGAAATTTTAAATTTCTTGGTAAAAAAACAAATAAAGAATATAAATATGTTAGGATACTAACACACAGCACCATCTAGTTCCATGATAAGCTACGAGGCTTGCGCTAAGGATACCAGATAGTTGATACACTACACATATATATACATATAACTTTAAATACATACATAAATATTATAAATATAAACACCCATGACTGGAGTACAAACATTTGTGCTCATCACACAAATGACTGCCTCCAGTGGGACTTGAACCTGCGACCGCTGGCACAGAAAGTAGAGTCACTACAAACTGAGCCAAATAATCAGATATTCCACATTGAAGTAAATTTTACGAGCATTTCTTTTGCGGTTTATGCAAATAATTTGCCTATTCGTTTGAAATCGTTACGCTTTCTTAATATTTTAGATAGTCTGCTGTCTGAGTGTAGATAGATTAATGATAAGATAATTATACTCAGCCCTTTTTAACGTCCCACTGCTGGTTGTGGGCTTCCTTTCAATACGAGGGGGATCAAGCCATATTCCATAATTAATACAAATATAATAATTGTTTCAATAATATTTTTAATAAGCGTAAAAAGTACCTATCTATACCTATAAATATGTCTTTAACCTTTCACGTGTCACTTAAAATAGTGATATACCTAATCAGAATACTTGTTTGTAATTTACTTCAGAAACAAAATTTTATAGTTTAACTAGCCTTGCCCGCGGCTCCGCCCGCGTTCAGATGACCAAAAACCAAATTCTTAGGTTTTACATAATAGTATATTCTTACAATGCAGTTTTTGTATTTTTTCTCAGAAATGAGATATTTTCCCGCGGTAAAAAGTATCCTATATGTTGAGCTGGATAACCAGCTATCATCATACCAAATTTCATCAAAATCTGTCCACTGGTTTTCTCACACAGACAGACAGATGGACATAAATTCTAAAATGTATAGATTCGGACTCTGTATCGATAATAATGTCTATTTCAATTAGATTTTTCAAAAAATATTTAATTTACAGATTCGACTTAGTTGCAATTTTATTATATGTACAGATACGATTAATTATATCTATATTTATATTTAAATCCGCCCACATGTGTAATTATTTGTGATAAAATGGGTTCTTTTCACAATATTTAAATCCCGGGATTATGGTACCAATGAAGATGGATGTCAGGTAAAAATTGTTAAGCATAAAAGTAAATAATCTATTTTTTTATTTTTATTTTAAACTAGCGACTCACCCTCGCTCCGCTCGGGTTCGTCCCTGCTTACGTTTTAACGTTTAGTATAGATTTCTCAGATGTGAGATATTTTTCCGCAGTAAAAAGTATTCTATATGTTGAACCGGATAACCAGCTATCATCATACCAAATTTCATAAAAATCCCTCCAGTAGTTTTTTTCGTGATACACTAACAGACAGACAGATAGACAAAAATTCTAAAAACTATAGATTCGGCCTCTGTATCGATAATAATGTTTATTTCAATAAGATTTTCCAAAAAATGTTTAATGTACCTACAGATTCGGCTTAGTTAGAACTTTATTATATGTATAGATCGGTTTTAATTTTAGTAAAATGGTTGTAGTGATATAGTGTAAAAAGAAATTGCTATTAACTTAAATGTATAAATGAAAAATGCTTTCATCTAATAATTATTAACTTGCAAACTTGTGTAGATTGTAGATCCTTTATTGTTAATTATTTTGTCGATCCCCAAATTCTGAGATTTAAGAGATTAAATATGACTAGATACTTGATTGAAACGAAACATAAACTTTTTTTATATCACACTATTCGTCTAGCCACTGCGAAGCATTGCGCAACAGAAGAACAAATATATTTTGCTAATTATGTATATATTTTTAACCGACTTCCAAAAAGGAGGAGGTTCTCAATTCGTCGGAACCTTTTTTTTAATTTACGGTGTTCAATTTTGAACGTATAATATACGTGGATAAGGAACTTTAGGTTTTTCAAATTAATCATCGATGCTAGCATAGGTATACAATATACATATTACAATATAATAGGTATACAAGTTTACTACTTTAGTATACTAAAGTAGTAAATTTTACAATAGCTTTGGGCAAAACGTTGTGAAATACATTTACACTTACCACCTGTACAATACCAGTACCCACCAAAGTCCAACGGAACCTTACGCGTCTTTATGGGATGCCGCAGAATTATTAATGTAACTATCCACGGCGCTTTGACAGCTGGCGATGATCCACTCTTCTATTCAGTGTTAGTACCGGAAGCCTCTCAGTGCTGAGAGTGCCACTATTGTCTACTAAGTCATGGTGTGGGCCATGACAAGTTGATCACGCATTCGGAAGGACAAATACTCTTATTTTCCCCCATACATACCCCATGTTTGGATTCCAAACCACCGACGGTGTCAGTTAACAATGATATGATGATAAAGCAAACAAATTGTCAATCAAACAATAGAACAACGATAACGGCTCTAAGCCCATAATCGTTTAATACTCTATACTTTACGCCATCGGGACCACTCATGATATATCTTATAGTGAGCATTCATCTATGTTGTATACATAGTTCAAGAAAATATAATATACCTACCAAATGTTGTTATATAGGTAATATAGATCCATATACGGTATCTCTAAAAACCCAACAATAAAGTTTTAAGTATGAAGTAAAGATTATCCGTTATAATAAAGGTACCAAATATAGTATTATGTCCTATATTAGTGATGATGATGATGTCAATTTTACTGAGAATACCCAACTGCGCAAACACCAATACACTTTCTATTCCTTTTCACTTTCAAAGTTAGATAGCCCTATCTACTACTATATACTATACTTCAAAACGATCAGTGAGAGCTCTTTTCTCTCCGAGTCACAGGGGTCACACCGCCAACTTTCCAACTCCAACTATACTTGACTCGACCTGGGACTCGAACCAGGACCCCGGATCTGCAGCCGTAACATGCTAGCCACCACCGAGGCAGTTCCTTGAGACACTCATTCTCCTCACACAGATAATAGATGTCGCTGTTCCGGAAACTGTTAAACTGGTTTATTTTATACATATTTGTAAAGTAAAATATAATAACATTTCAAAATTCTTCCTGAATTAAATTAAAATTTTATTCATAAAAAATATATATTATTCATAAAAAATAAAATCCTGTAGTGAATATATACTACAAACCTAATTGCAGATTTTTACTTACACTTTCAATAACAAATCGACACATATAATGCCATCTATTGACATTTATTTGAACTAATTATTCTTTGTTCCTAATGAGACTCCACTTATACTAATGTTCGCTCTTCTTTCGTTGTAGGTAGTTTTAGTACTTTTAATAGAAGATATTTTTAAAGAACATGTCTTGCAGCTATTTCGTTTAACTGTTTAATCAAAATGAACTTTTAATCTTTGGCGCAGTCGGGTAAAAAAGGAAATTTTCCCGCTTTTAGTACTGGCGGAACGTGTGTATATTAGACAGGGCTGCAAAATTGGACGTCCCGGTTTTCTCGGGGTGCCCTAAGTTCTATCAGAAGTCCGATTCACTAAAGACCCACCGCGTTCATCTTACATTCCGCATATTTCATGACACGAGTATGCTTGCGTATTCGTTTACAATCCCGTCTATTGTCTTAAACAAAAGTAAGATTAACCTAATCTTATAATAAACTCATTATACTATTGTTATCTCATTATAATCGTGCGTATGCGCCATAAAATAAACGGATTTAAAATATAAATGAAATAAATTTTAATCAATATAGATGTATTAAAAGTATTTTTGTTTCATTATACAATATCTAATATAGATTTGATTAAAGATACTGGAAAAGTGCGTTCAATAATTATTATGAACAAGCATTGCACGCGGCTCCGCCCGCGTTCAGATGACCAAAAACCAAATTATTAGTTTTTACATATTAGTATACTCTTACAATGCAGTTTTTGTATTTTTTCTCAGAAATGAGATATTTTCCTGCGGTAAAAAGTATCCTATAAGTTGACCCGGATAAACAGTTATCATCATACCAAATTTCATCAAAATCTGTCCAGTGGTTTTTCCGTGATGCGGTAACAGACAGACAGACGGACAGACAAAAATTCTAAAAACTATAGATTCAGAATCTGTATCGATAATAATGTCTATTTCAATTAGATTTTCCAAAAAATATTTAATGCACAGATTCGACTTAGTTACAATTTTATTATATGTATACTCGTAGAAGAGTTAGGTCGCATTCGTAATTTACAAGTTCATGACACAGTAGGTACCGAGTCACCTGCGTGAGCCAGAAGTGGCGAATACAATTCCTGTGTCCTCCATACGAAAGCATATTTTTTTATGTACCTAAAAACATTCATTTATATTTTATTTACGAGAACGAGGAATAATAAATTAAAATATTTTTTTTTAAGTTGGGACATTAACACAACACCATCTAGTTCCATGGTAAGCTACGAGGCTTGTGTTATGGATACCAGATAGTTGATACACTACACATATATAAACTTTAAATACATACATATTATAAATATTATACTATATATAATACATCTCATAGGAAATTCTTCATCTGTCCATTTGAATTTATTTACTTTTTAAGTAGATGGTTACTGGTTAGATAGGTACAGCCCTGCGTGTGCCCTTACATTGTGCCGATTATTATCTGATGGGCAAAATTAATCCCTGTTTATCAAAGATAAACACTCGAGTGCTGATGCTGAGATGTCTATATAAGAGAGATCGTATCTTCCGCTGATTGATAAGTAACTCAGACTAATAAACGGTAACATCATAATGGCTGCTGAAGTTGTAAGTCCTATTTCTTTAAAATGTTTGAAATTAAACGAAATAGTACTACCTACTAACGTTAAATAAATAACTTAAAATAAATTACTGTCCCATTACTCATACTTTATGCAAAGATCTATAGGTATATATAATAAAATTCTAACTAAGCCGAATCTGTATGTTAAATATTTTTTGGAAAATCTTTTTGAAATAGACATTATTATTGATACAGAGGCCGGATTTATAGTTTTTAGTATTTTTGTTTGTCTGTCTGTTACCGCATCACAGAAAAACCACTGCAGGGATTTTGATGAAATTTGGTTTGGTGATAGCTGGTTATCCGGGTCTACATATAGGATATTTTTTACCGCGGAAAAATATCTAATTTCTGAGAAAAAATACAAAAACTGCATTGTAAGAGTATACTAATATGTAAAACCCAAGAATTTGGTTTTTGGTCATCTGAACGCGGGCGGAGCCACGGGCAATGCTAGTCTATACTATATAATATGTATAATAATTAATTTGCAAAAAAGTGCTGAGGATGACAATATTCTTTGACTAAAACATTTTACAAAAAATTCGCTCTAAACTGAAATGGAAAACAAAAGTTGAGGTATAATTTATTATAAAATCTAATAAAAATTCTAGAAAAATCCGATCTCTATGATCGATCCATCCCAACTCCTGCGTCCGGAGGCCACCTTCAACGACAAGCCGCTGAACGCCTTCCGCGACTACTCCGTGGACGACAACGACCCTATAAAAGAACGCGTGCGCAGGACCTACTACACCATGCACACTAATGTTACCGTAGATCTGGTTAAAGGTAAGTGGTTCTAGAAAAAAAATAGCTATCTAGGTACTTAAATGCTACTTCAAAATTTCTATCTATGTATCTTATTCAACATTTCTAACCTTACCAATATTATGGGGAAAAAACTTTTTAACAAAAAAATAAAAACCGACTTCAAACAAAAGCACTAAAAAGTAAAAAAATAACTGATTGGTAGTTTTCATTTACTATACATACCTAATCAAATATTTTCGAAGTCGGTGTGCTTTACTTTGTATGGGCTGGCACCGATTTCGAAAATATTTGGTTAGGTATGTATTTAATAGGTAGGCTTTAATTACTCCTCCTTTTTGAAGTCGGTTGAAAAATATATTAGAAAGTACTGACCTATATATTACGTTTATCGATATATATTAGTTAATGTTTAAACGAAAACATTTTATTTAAACCATTCATTGATTTTAGAAAAGCGTGAGAAATGGTTAAAGTTCAACCACTTCAAGTCGACAGTGAAGGACGCTCTGATCAAACTGAACGAGCTGGTGGACGAGTCCGACCCCGACACCGACCTGCCCAACATTGTGCACGCCTTCCAGACCGCGGAGAGGATCCGGCAGGATCACCCTGATGATGACTGGTTCCACCTCACAGGTCTTATCCACGATTTGGGCAAAGTAAGTTCCCACATCTAATAATTATATTTTATAAAACCTTCTGTTATCATTGCAAGTGCTGAATTTTGTGCTTTTCTTTATTTAGTAACGACGTTTACTCACAATATGTTCAGTATTTAACAGATATATTATAACGTATAAACTTTATAATATACCTATTTATTTTATTATATTTAATCAACAAATATTATGAAAATAGCTCAATAAGTTTAGAAGTCTTTCCATTTTTCTTATTTTATCGGTCAGAGCAAACTTAAAAAAATAGCATATTGTAATCTTTGCACGAGAAGTTAAATAAAATAGGTACATTAAATAGAAGTAACGTGAAACTTTTCTCAAGAAATTAGAACATTTTATGAAGCAAAATAATTAAATAGCCTTTTGTTAAGGTTATTGATATTATCACGTTATAATTTGATAGAGTTCAGCGAGTTAACCTTTAATGGCCTTTGCATGTTTATAATGGGTTTTCTCCTATCATTTGCGTCGTAGGTTCTGTATGATGATTAACTGCCTTAGTGGTGTAGTGGCTAGCATGTACGGCTGCACACCCGGAGGTCCTGGGTTCGAGTCCCGGGTCGGGCCAAGTTTAGTTATTGAATCTTTCTGTATAGTAAGTCTCAGTAACAGCCCGGAGTTGGGAGGTTGGCGGTGTTTCACCCCCGTGCCACGAAGAGCACGTAAAGCCGTCGGTCTTGCGCCGTAACTCTCACCGGTCGTGTCGAGTGGTCGTCCCACCGGAGTATGAGAGTGACAGGAATAGAGAGTGCACTTGTGTCTGCGCGTACCTTTGTGCACTATAATATCTCCTGCGCAGTTGGCTAATCTCAATGAGATTGGCCGCCGTAGCCGGAATCGGCTAGGAGAGAACATCATGATGACTAGGGACGGTGAATGTTACATGGTTGGTTATTTATTTGCTGCTTTATAAATAGAAAACTTCATTATGATGTTTCGATTATAAAATTCTGGCCTCCACACTAGGACAGAGTAAACATATAAAAATTCAACAAATCCTGCTTAAGAACTCGATAATTTAACGCTTTTTGCATTACTTTAGTGAACCTTTTAAGTCAAATACAATATTATCTTAGTGATCTAGTCTTCTGCGCAAATCAATTTAGTTCCAACGGCAATGAAACCATCATCAATTGTCGTGAAACGTGTTATATCTATTCTATATTAAAATGTTATATTGCGTAGGTGATGGCGTTCTACGGCGAGCCGCAATGGTGCGTTGTGGGCGACACCTTCCCTGTGGGCTGCAAGTGGGCGGACTCTATTGTTTACGGTCCCGAGAGCTTTAAAGACAATCCTGACACTTACAATCCTAAATATAAGTTAGTTTAGAATTTTTACTGATTTTTTACACTTTAAAACATTTTTTCAAACGATTGATATTTTTTTCAAATCACACGTTTCTTAATTTATTTTCTATTAAAGATCAGATTCATAATTCAATTCATTACAATGTCTACATATTATTATTGTATTCAGCCCTTCTTAACGTCCCACTGCTGGGCACGGGCCTCCCTTCTATATGAGGGGGATCAGGCCATAGTCCACCACGCTGGCCAAGTGCGGGTTGGCGGACTTCACATGTCTTTCGAAAACTTGCTAGGTTCTCTCAGACATGCAGGTTTCCTCACGATGTTTTCCTTCACCGTAAGGCAAGTGGTAATCATGTTGAAAATGATTCGCACATGAAAATATCAGAGGTGCGAGACCCGGGATTTGAACCCGCTTCCCTCGGTTATCCAAGCGAGCGCGTCACCACTGGGCTACCACTGCCTTGACATATTATTATTATCAATTTAAATTTTAAACACTAACATGCTTTATTATCAAATACTAGCACAAAGTACGGCATGTACAAGCCTCACTGCGGGCTGGACAATGTGCTGATATCGTGGAGTCACGACGAGTATCTGTACCAATTCCTGCTGCACAACAAGTGTAAGATCCCAGAAAAGGGGCTGTATATGATCAGGTACTTGTTGTTTCTATAAAATAATCCTAAAGTGTATTCCTAGTATAGTAGTAATGCGTTGTATGTAAATATAAACTTAAAAGTTTAATAAGCAAAGGCATAAAGATATATTGATGCCAATGTGGGTATATGTATTATATATTCCCAGTAACCTTACAAGTTTTAAATTTGGTACGTTGCTATCTTTTTTTAAAATTTTGTGATGACGCTGGGGAAACCCATCATGGGGATCCTGCCGGTCGTCCACGGGCATAGCACTGTGAGACTCCTACTTACTAAAACCTACAGCAGACTCGTCACCGCAGTGCAATGTGGCGTTGCAGGATCGCTTGCGCACAACAACGATGCTATCTCTAAAGTAACAAAACAAGAAATTAAAAACTGTGCAAGTGTGAGACAAGCTCATACGGATACCTAAATATTCACAGATATTTTAAAGAAAGGCTAGAGAGTTATGTATAGTTACACGTTTTGAGGTACTCTTGCGATCGATTAATTCGCAAAGATTTGGCGTACGATTTTCACAAAAAATAGAGCGAATCAAGCACCTCCTCTTTTTGAAGTCAAAATAACTTACAGTAATAGTATAGCTTTTTATTAACGTAAAAGCCTAAGAAAAAATTCAGTTTGAAAGATCATACCATTATTGACTATATACTTGTGTGAAAAGGGCTGAATACATACATAATGTATTCAGCTCTTTTTAACGTTTCACTGCTGGGCATGGGTCTTCCTTCAATACGAAGGGGATCAGGCCATAGTCCACCACGCTGGCCGAATGCGGGCGGAATCCACATGTCTTTCAAAAACTTGCTAGGTTCTCTTAGACATGCAGGTTTTCTCACGATGATTTCTTTCACCGTAGGGCAAGTAGTAATCTAGTAGTAAAAATGTTAGAAATGAACCCGCCTCACTCGGTTTCCCAAGCGAGCGCGTTACCACTGGGCTACCACTATCTTATACTATATACTGTATATATATAGTATGTATAAACTAACAAACACATTACATTATTGTGAGATTGCTTATGTTAATACTTACTACTTTACGTGACAGGTACCACTCCCTGTACCCGTGGCACGCGGGCGGCGACTACCGACACCTCACTAACGAAAAAGACGAACAGATTCTACAATGGGTTCTTGAGTTTAAGTGAGTTTCTAATCTTTTTCTTCTTCAAGGACCTCTCTATTACTGAATCACCTCAATTCTTCTTCGTTCAGGGTTAGCCTGAACAGATCTTCAACCCTTTTTATCCCTATCCATTGTCGGTTGCAGAGCCAAATTTCTGATAATGGCTATAAAAATTGCATAATATATTAATTAATATATTTTTAATAATAATGAGACCAATAGTGGCATTGAAAATTCTTTGTTTAAGCTTTTCATGTCTGATGTATTTTGTTTATGGAGAAGTTAAAATGACTTAGCAGTGATTTTTTTTGTTTGGTAATAAAAATATAAATTTCTTTTTTGTCTAGTAGATACTACTATATTTCATCCTATTAAAGTAAGTGTAAGAAAAATGACCACACGTACATATATCGTATAAAATTAATTTATATTTTTCATAAAGTATGCTTTAAATAAATTAAAAATAACTTATATGACTTTCTTTCGCAGCAAATACGATCTATATACTAAGAGTGAGAAAATTCCCGACATCGAAGCCCTTTGGCCCTACTACGAAGGTCTTATTGAGAAATACATTCCCGGCGTGTGCGAATTTTGAGAGACGAAAAACAAAACCTAATATTGATAATTATTTATTTAGAGTATATATTTTAACGTCCCACTGCTGGGCACGGGCCTCCCTTCAATACGAGGTACATCAGGCCATAGTCCACCACGCTGGCCAAGTGCGGGTTGGCGGACTTCACATATCTTTCGAAAACTTGCTAAGTTCCCTCAGACATGCAGGTTTCCTCACGATGTTTTCCTTCACCGTAAGACAAGTGGTAATCATGCTAGAAATGATTCGCACATGAAAATATCAGAGGTGCGAGACCCGGGATTTAAACCCGCATCACTCGGTTTCCCAAGCGAGCGCGTTACCACTGGGCTACCACTGCCTCCATTTATTTATAGAACTATGTATTTAATAAACCTTATTTTATGTATTTACCTTCTTTACAAATAAAAGATTTAAAAATAATTTGATCATTTTTTTCTACGGTTGCACAACCTCGAAAGAAATTAGTTCATTTTTTTTAAAAGAGAAAATTTGTTAGAACAGACCAAAATATATATAAATATAAATTGATAGTTCCTAAAAATCGAACATTCGTTTTCAAAACAAATATTTCAATAAAATACTAATACATAATAATAAAATAAAAATAATAGTGCACACAAATATTTTTTGTATATCACAAAACATACATATATACATACATACATACATACATACATACAAACAGGTACACATTAATACATTAAAAAAAAAACAACATAATTTTGGCTCTACAACTTTACCTCCAAACTTAGCATATCTCTAGATTTGTGCCTGCTGGTCGTAAATCTAAATACAATTATCATACTAAAAAAGACTTCCTTGAGCTGTTACCAAGATCCGCATAGACGGGCATATTAATATAGTGACTTATCACTTTTTAGTTCTTTCACTACTTTATCTTAAAATTACATAATTCATTATATTTTAGCAAATAACGTCGCAATCAACGGGTAAATAATATATATATATATATATATATATATATATATATATATATATATATATTTCTCAGAGCTACTGAACACACACAAAGCATACGGATCGGTCCAGCCGTTTCGGAAATTTGTTACAAACACTGTGACACGAGAATTTTATATGTACTTAGATGTACGTAAACAGTCTTTATCTTAATTGTTATTTTGACGTAATGTGGCCTCATGACCGTGACCGTTAACTTATTCTTATCCCGTCAAAACCCACACAAAAACTGTGGACAATGGACATTTTTTTAACTTAATTTTTCTAGTACAAAACAATTACTATACCTACAGTGAAACAAACTTTCACATATTTCTTTTTGCAAATTTAGTGGATCTATCACATTATACAGACACGAATATATGAAATGTACCGAGAAAATTCCATATGATCATCGCATTTTTTTTTATTGGAAACTTTTGTGCAACGGTTTCCGAGGAATAAAAGATAGAAACGAGGGGATTGCTCGCTTTGATTAGTGTCCTCGCCAATAAATAAAGTTGTGAGATAAAAATAGATACGAGTTGAGTGGCTCAGAATTAAAACGAATTGCTTTTGAGTTCGTCAATAAAGGTATGCACTCATTGTTATAAAGATGGCAGGTCTATCATGCATTTTGTCCAAAAAAAAATTTCTAACTTTTATCTTCTTGTAAATTTGATTCCTTATGGAAAATATATAGAGTATGTATACATATCGCTTTCTTAGTTCCTATACTCTTACACTTTACTACTGCATGTTAAGTGCACGTATCAAGCGCTACGTTTATGCAAACGAAAATCCATACTAATATTATAAATGTGAAAGTGTGTTTGTTTGTTTGTCTTTCTTTCACGTCGAAACGGAGTGACAGATTGCGCGGCCAGACTACAATACCTTAAATTTTAAGTCTCGTTTATTTCCCTCGTAAAGTTGGCAGCATTACCCATATTCTCTTTTTACTCTACAGAAAACGGTAACTAACCGTTTGTCGTGTGGGTACTTGAAATAAATGCTAGTTTTAATAACAAAAATGAAATATTTTTCTTACCAGGTACATTGTGCACTCTCCTCCTGGGCGTCCAATTTATTCTTAATTGCGTCTCCTACTGCACGTATCACGTGATATCGCTTACAAGTTACACGAGACATACATACATACATACATACATACATACACATAAGCCCAATATGATATTAGGCATTGTTAGTATACACTATAGTCTTTTTTTTTTTTTTAACGTTGGGAAATGCATTTACGCACGACGTGTGGGACTCACCGGCGTAATACAGCCAGTACTACCCACTAAAACCCAACAAAACCTTCCCCCGTCTTAATGGGGCGTCGCAGGATCGCTTACGCATTCAACTACGACGCCCCGACGGCAGGTCCGCCGAAGCAGACCACCACAACCATGGGGTTGCTCCACAGTCCACTCTGCTATCAGAGAAGTACCAGGAGCAACCCGCATGGTACACCGCCCTCCGAAGAGGGCCACCTCCCACCGCCCACCGAAGTGGGCAACCTCCCTGTGCGTTTCTTAGCTTCGCTACTGCTACTGAGCCCCCCCACCACGACAAGGTGAACGCACGTTGGGGGGGGAGTATACACTATAGTCTATTATAAAATATTATTAATGATATTTTATGATTAATTTTAAATTTCAATAAACATCAGGTTTGGGGGTAATAGTTGTTATATAAGTTAAAGATATACCTTAATATTTTCTACAGGTGTTTTACACAAAACCATATTTCTATACACTTAAAAAATATTTTGTAGATTAGGTAAAAATAATTGAAAAGAGGTTTTTCAGGTTTTATTATTTTACAGAATATGTACCTACCTATTAATAAATATTAATATTTAGTACAGTACTGGAATAAACTACGAAATAGACGAATTGATTTCCCATTTAAATAAATTACGTTGCTTTACATTTTTAATAGCCACATTAATTAATGAATTAATCAAATTAATGACAGCTAAACATCGATTTAATTACAACTCTAATAATTACATGTTAGTGCGATATTAAATTTTGCCATAATGATATTAAATAATTTACGTATGACTGATAACATTATAGCCCCACAGCTGATAAATCAATTTGTCGCTCACATTTAAGATGTTGGTGCGTGTCGTGAGGAGCAGTCCTCGTCGTCTCATCTTCAAGCAAACAACGCCAAGATGAAGGTCTTAAATCCTGTAAGTAGTACCGACTCAATTTTTGATCAAAATGATTCGACTAAACATTATTATTTGTAAAAAAAAAACAAATATTATTTAGGTACGTATTCATTTATGCTTTTTTTCTTCGAACTTTACTAAATGATAACGATTTCAAAAATGCAATCTCCAATTAGATAAAAGGACAATTAAAATGTAGTGTGTAGTATAATTGTAGAAAAATGGGAACCTACAAAGGATAAAGCTTGTTTGAATTTTTAATTATAAAAATAATTCCTGTTACTTTTTACTGCCTGTAAACTATTTTATTTTCTGTTTTTTTTATAACTCGGAATAATTTTTTTTATTCACCATATTGGATACACTAACGAAAATAAAAACTTTTTAACAAAAAAATAAAAACCGACTTCAAACAAAAGCACTAAAAAGTAAAAAATAACTGATTGGTAGTTTTCATTTACTATACATACCTCATCAAATATTTTCGAAGTCGGTGTGCTTTGCTTTGTATGGGCTTGCACCGATTTCGAAAATATTTGATTAGGTATGTATTTAATAGGTAGGCTTTAATTACTTAGCCAAAGCACACCGACTTCGAAAATATTTGATTAGGTATGTATAGTAAATGAAAACTACCAATCAATAATTTTTTACTTTTTAGTGCTTTTGTTTGAAGTCGGTTTTTATTTTTTTGTTAAAAAGTTTTTATTTTTCACTTTTTAGTGTAGACTGTAGTAGCAAAGTAAGAATTCTAACGTATTAGGCTTGTCAAATCAAACAACACAAGCCCAAACTCAAAGTATCTACTATTAGCCGTCGAAGAGTTCCACCTATCCACCTTCTGGGATCTTACCATCAGATCAGGTCAACAATACCGAACCACTGTACTATCAACGGAAATAGAAACACTTGCAAAGTTTCAAGTCAATATGACAATTAGAAGTAGGTTAAATTCATCGTTAGCTATTTTTCCACCCTTAGGGGTGGTATTTTTTCTTTTGAAATTTAAATGGAACCAATCTGGAAGTGTACACTTTCAAACAACACAAAAATTGTCCAAATCGGTTAATAAATGACGGAGTTCTGAGGTAACAAAGATAAAAAAAATACAGTCGAATTGAGAACCTCCTCCTTTTTGAAGTCGGTTGAAAAATGTATGAGACATGTACGGTCTTAAAAGCGTAAGAAGCCGCGAGAAATCTAGCCTATGTCCTATGCATAACAAATAATAATTTATTTTACGATTTCTGACGTTATCATGTAAAGATCATGACGTCGTGTTCTGATGTAATATTTTTGCAAATGTGACTACGATGTTTATTTATTAGTTCTTATCGAATTAAGCTACGCGTAATTATGGTGTAGATATTAAATAATTTATGCCCGTTAAGTTGACCCCGCAAATTTCGAATTTTTAAGAAATTACTTTATTTTATATTTTAAATTATGTTGTTTCCAATTTTTGTTAATTTTGTATTTTTTATCAATTACTAAATAATTTCATAATATTATAAATGCTATGTACACTTGTTATTGATATGCATGTCTGATTCTTTTTTTTTTCACTTTAATTATTGTATTGAATTGTTTAACATGTGTATTGTAAGTGTGCTTAATAATAATAAATGAATAAATAAATATAAAATGTGCTGAAATGTGCCCAGTGTGAACTTTTATGTGGCACTTAAAAAAAATTACACAAAAAGTATATTTTTTATGAGGAGTTCCATTTTTTCAAGTCCGGTTAGCTCCAACACTTTACTCTATCGGAATTATTAGAATTGTGCCGTGATGTGCTCAAGATGTGCTACCGTGTGCAAGTGATGAAAAAGAAAAAAAATAACAATTATATAAGTAAAAATTTTGCATGTTCATAAATGATGATTCCGAAATTTTTGAATTTCTAAGAAATAAAAAATGTGCTAAAATGTGCCCAGTGTGTGCTATTACGTGCTGCTTGGGAAAAAAATGCAAAAAATATAATTTCTATGAGGAGGTCCCCTTTTTGAAGTCACGTTAGCTCCGCAACGTTACTAGGCACAAGTTTAGAATTGGGGACGTGGCCCCTGGCGGAGTGGGTGGTATTTCTGGATAAGGGACGTGATAGGGAGTCGAAATGTTAAATAAATTTTTTTAATACAACAAAAGATTCAAAAGTTATTGAGACTTAAAGTTACAACATTTCCATACATTTTCATATATTTCTTTACCACCATTCGGAGTGGGTGGTATTTTTAGATAGGGGAGGTGACAGAGAGTCAAAATATATTAAAAATATTTGGAGGAAACGTACGAGTAAAAAGTTATTGAGACTTAAAGTTATAACATATCTAACACATTTCCATACATTTCTTTACCTAAATAAGTGATTACAACAGATAAACATACCTTTAACGAATAGTACGCATCCTTTTTTATGTACATTACACATTTTCACAACAATTAATGCTTTATTGTATTTAATATTTTAATAATTTCACAACACAAACAAAATGATCTTACATTTTGACAAAAGCAAAACTGACACTTTGTTTTATATTACCGCTTAAATGACAACAGATCATATTTGATTATTTTTGCTTTTTCTGTTGGTAAAATATTACTATTAATAAATAAATAAATAAAAAGAAAAATATTATTTTCACTTTATAAATACATTTATGACTTTTTATTTGATTTATGTAAAATATATTGTTTTACAATTGTACATTTAGTAAAAAAAACATTTTTTTATCTGTGAATATTTTTAATTATTTATATTATATATTTATATATTTATAAAAATTCGAATTTCACGCAAAGTACAAATAAAGACAATCATCTGGAGATCATTTTGACAATTGAAAGTGACGTTTTGACTCCCAAGTGTTTAAATGGTAGTAATGTCAAAATAATGTATGGAAATGTTATAACTTTAAGTCTCAATAACTTTTGACTCTTTTGTTGTATTAAAAAAATTTATTTAACATTTCGACTCCCTATCACGTCCCTTATCCAGAAATACCACCCACTCCGCCAGGAGCCACGTCCCCAATTCTAAACTGCAGCCCGTTACTATATCGAAATCGTTAAAATTGATGAAATTTGTATTTCCAAGAATAGTATAATGCAAAGTACCATCCATACCTGCACCAAAAGTTAGCCCGGCTCGATAACTGTTATTGAAAATTTTATAGGTTGTGCTGCAATCGAGGGCGATTGTTAAACAATGTGCAGTCGTAAAAAAATGCATTTCCAAGAGTAGTAAAATGTGTGAAGATCCCCCATCTACTATTGACTCCTCCATCTGTGAAGACAGCTTTTATGAAAATACGACATAAAATGTGATTAGTTCAACTTTAAGATTTCTATGCAACGTGTAGTACCTATATTCGATATTTCTTAACATACACTTTTACTTTTAGGATAACACAATTTCTATGATAGACCCGTCTCTGCTGATGCGGCCAGAAAAGGTCTACGATGGAAAACCTTTAGAAGCTTTCCGCGACTACTCGATCGACGAGCAGGACCCCATTAAAGAGCGTGTCAGAAAAACTTACTACGATATGCACACCAACATGACAGTTGACTTTGTTAAAGGTAGATAGGCTATTAATCTAAATTAAGAAAAAGACCTTTTTCTGAATTTAAAATCAAAGCATTCTTAATTCGGGGTAAAAAAAACTAGCCTAGATCTAGCTCGCCAAATCTTCTATCCATCAGTGAATCCAAATCAAAACTGATTCCGCTGTTCTGGTCATCAACAAATGACCAGTGCAAACAAACAGGCAGACATTGTTTTAATAATTTCTTTTCATCGGTTTTATATGATATTATCACATCAATTAACTTAGGGAAAACAAAAAAACATCATAGGTAGAATCTGTAACTTTTTTATATTTAAGTTAATGGAGAATTTTATCAAACTTATAGGTACAAACTTGTATATAATAATCCCTGTGAACTCCAAAACACCTGGAGCAAATTTGATGAAATTTTCAAGCAATCAACAGATTAGCCCAGCAGGTGATCCTGTGAAGCCGTAGGTACTGCTAGTATTTAATCCATTTTATTGTTTGTCACAGGTAAAATGAATAAGTGGTTAAAGTTTAACCACTTCAAGTCGACAGTGAAGGACGCTCTGATCAAACTGAACGAGCTGGTGGACGAGTCCGACCCTGACACCGACCTGCCCAATATCGTGCACGCCTTCCAGACCGCGGAGAGAATTCGAGAAGACTATCCTAATGATGATTGGTTCCAACTTATTGGATTAATACATGATCTTGGAAAGGTAAAAAAATACACAATTTTTTGAAAGAAAATTGATTTGACCTGGAATATAACTGAAATGACGAAATCGTCGTTTTGAATCAAATTGGTTGGTAGTGTTTTAATAAGTATACTTATCTACAAATGGTACATTTTCTAACTAGTAAGAGATACCTATTACCTAATAATATATAAAGAGGCAGAGTTTGTTTGTTTGAACGCGCTAACTTCAGGAACTACTAATCCAATTTGGAAAATTCTTTTTGCATCAGATAGCCCTTTTATTTAGAAAGACTAGGTTATATATGATCCCGAAAAAGTACCGTTCCCGTGGGATATATATACATATATAACCGATTCCGGCCACGGCGGCCAATCTCATTGAGACTAGCCAACTGCGCGGGAGATATTATAGTTCACAAGTGTACGCGCAGACACAAGTGCACTCTCTATACCTGTCACTCTCAAACTCCGGTGGGACAACCACTCGACACGACCGGTGAGAATTACGGCGCAGGACCGACGGCTTTACGTGTTCTCCGAGGCACGGGGGTGAAACACCGCCAACTTCCCAACGCCGGGCTGTTACTGAGGCTTACTATACAGAAAAACTTAATAACTAAACTTGGCCCGACCCGGGACTCAAACCCAGGACCTCCGAGTGTGCAGCCGTACATGCTAATCAATCTATAGATTTTAGAATTTTTGTCCGTTTGTCTGGGAACGCACCACGAGAAAACCACTGGACAGTTTTTAATGAAATTTGGTATGATGATAGCCGGTTATCCGGGTCAACATGTAGGATACTTTTTACTGCAGAAAAATATCTCACCTCTGAGAAATTTATACTAAACGTTAAACCCGAGCGGAGTGAGGGTGAGTCGCTAGTATAATATATAGTCTATCTATTCCATGCTAACCTTTAAAACCTATCTAGGGACTCGAATCCAAGCGAAGCGAGGGTGAGGTGCTAGATGATAATAAAGATAATTTAAACAACAAATAATATTATAAAAATATTTTTTTAATTGCAACTAGGTGATGGCGTTCTACGGCGAACCACAATGGTGCGTGGTTGGCGACACCTTCCCTGTGGGCTGCAAGTGGGGCAAGAATATAGTTTATGGTGACGACAGCTTTAAGAACAACTCGGATACATATAATGACAAATACAAGTAAGGAATTTACCCATATTATAAAAAAATATTCTTTATTTTTAAATAATTTTTAATATTATTGATCTACTTCCCAAAAAATCGAGAAAGCCTATAAAGCCATAATTTAAAAATATTTAAATTAGTCAAATAATAAATTAGTCTACTTATTATAATTTCAGTACTTTATACGGAATCTACAAACCGAAGTGTGGTATTGAGAATTTAATGATGTCATGGGGACACGACGAGTACCTGTACAGGGTGCTCAAGCATAACAATGCCAAGTTCCCAGAAGAAGGATTATGGATGATCAGGTATTTTCTTAATTTCTAAACCTACGTAATACCTAACCTACGCAAATTAATTGTCACTTAATGATTACACTGACACGCATGAAGCATTTAATCGAGTAATCATACGACAAAATCCCTTACATCATTTTGGAAAAGAGCTGATACTTTTACACTGCTAGACCGATATTAACCAAACATAGCTAAGAACCACCGCAAGGAAACTGGCTCTCAAATGAAAAAAAAACCGCATCGAAATCGGTCCATCCGTTTGAGAGCTACGATACCACAGACAGACACAGACACACAGGCAGACATCGACGTCAAACTTAACACCCCTCTTTTTTGCGTCGGGGGTTAAAAACGCTTTTTATCTTAATTTATATTTATGCGTTACTTTGTGATACAAGGAATCGAATCTGCGATTTATAGCATAGTAGGTTGTTCTAGTGACATACAGAAATACATCTCCACGATGTCATTTCATCCTAGCAAGTAGGCGATAAAAATAAATTAGAGTAACATTAATGTTTGTAATGTATATTTTTGTGGCAAAAATAATGACTATTTCTTCATTAATTGACGACACGTTCTGCTCAGTTTGTAGTGATCCTACGACCTACTTGCTGTGCCAACTGTCGCAAATTCGAGTCCCGATAGGGGCATTCATTTGTATGCTGAACACGAATGTTTGTACTCCAGTCATGGGTGGGTTTATATTTATAATATGTATGTATTTAAAGTTATATATGTGTAGTGTAACAACTATCTGGTATCCATAACTCAAGCCTCGTAGCTTACCATGGAACTAGATGGTGCTATGTGTTAATGTCCCAACATACTTATTTATATATTATTTTATTATTATTGATCAGATACCATTCCTTCTACCCGTGGCACGCGGGCGGTGACTACAGTCAATTCTGCACTGAAAGGGACGATAAAATTAAGGAGGCCGTACTTAAATTTAAGTGAGTTTTATCAGCTTTTAATTACATCTTTAATTATATCCAATTGAATTATTTTTATAATTAATTTATTTTTTTGCATAAACTATTATTATACCCATATAATAATACGATTTAAGAAACTAAAATAATACAATTCCCACGACAAAGAAAGTCTAAAAAAAAGTAGTTTAACTTACTATAAAATTAGATAAATAAATAATGTATATTTTATTAGGTAATACATATTAATAACTGTAAAACAATAAATTAATTACAGCCAATATGACTTATACACAAAGAGCGCAGCGCTACCCGACATCGAGGCACTATGGCCCTACTATGAGTCTCTCATCGAGAAATACATTCCCGGTGAGCTTGAATGGTAACTATGTGTTATTGGCAGTGAAAAAACCCCCTAGTGAATTTTTTTGAACCGTAGACATACGAGAGTGGACTGTTTTTTGCCAGCAATAAGCTAAAAATTGCGGAAAGGCGCGACAGAGACAAAACGAATGCGCGGCCAGAAGTCTTCTGTATTAATTGAAATATGATTAATGAAGATAGATATTTATAACCATTTTTTCTATCACACTGTTATAATTTTTTCACATTCCATTTATAAATTCAAATTTGAACGAAAGACAGGTGCCTATTCTCCGAACGGCTTTCTAAGGACTAGTAGTTTCATGAGAGCATTTCTCAGTCCATTCTAACTAACGAAAATGCTCGCAGACCTACCAATTTGACAATTCTAATTATTTTGTCGTCTGTGGAAACTTTGATTTATAAATTTAAACTAAATTGAAGTGAAGTTAGTTCTGCAACTTGCTAGCAAGAAATCTGCCCATCGATATGCTTATTATATAGATATGCTTTAATTATTTGTACAAATGTATATGTACCATATTATTTTTATACAATAATGTAATTTAAGTATATTATGTAAATAAAACTATTTTTTAAATAAACCAGGAACTTTATTTTAGCTATATGTACAGAAATACAGATATATGAAAATAGATAATTATTCTATATAGCTTCAACAAACAGTCACAATGCGAATCGAGGATTGGTATATATTCTTATAATATCATAAGAATGGACACTCGTAGCTAAAATATTTATCAATTGTAATATAGTATAAAGTAAAACACTGCAAAATTTGACAAATATTTTAAATACAAATGTCACAAAACAAAGGTAAATATTAACATAAGTTAGTCGTGGGACAAAGACAGCGTTATAAGAGTGAGAGAGACGAAAAATTAGAACACACTACACAGTCATATATCAGTGCATCTCTTTCACTCATATAGGAGCATCGCTGTCTAAAGTCGACGAGTTAAGGACGTATATAAAGTCAAGCTTTAAACGTATTACATATGTGAGAATTCCTACAGAAATCACAAACGAATCATATATAATATAATGCACGTATGATCTTTGTTCTTTCAAAGACAAAACGTTATGAAAATAAATAATTTCATGAAAATATTATATTCGGTAATCGGCATTAGAAATCATGTCATTCGTTCATCCTAAGCTACAATATCACAACGCTGCCACCAATTAAACCATTCAAAATAAAGACACAGATTAAAAAAAACTAAATTATCCATAGACAAAAATAAACTAATCACGTTTCGTTCACTAAACACTTAATTAATTAATATTAAGTTTAAATTCAAAAATAAAACAAAAAAAAAGCTTTTCTTCAATTTAAAAGTCAAGTCACGTACAATTTTATATAAAATCCACACAAAAACCCGACATGACTAATAATAACGAGAGGAAATAACTTGGAATCATTATCTCAATAGAGATCTTAAAAATAAAGTCCAAACGTCTCAATAAACACATCATAAACACACTCAATAACACACTCAATAAACGCTTCACTTTAGCTTTCCAACCCGTATATATTCAACAAAGTAGATTTACATACAATCATATTAAAAGAATTGATTTAAGAAAAAAAACGAAATAGATAAATAAAGCGATATAGTATAAAGTTTTCACATTTTATAGATTCAATTCATTTTAAATAAAACAATCTTATCGGATTTTTTCGCGGATTTATTTTGATTTTCAACCGACTTCCTCAAAAAGGAGGAATCAAATAATTTCGAAGTCGGCGCTAGCCGATACAAAGTAAAGCACACCGACTTCGAAAATATTTGATTAGGTATGTATAGTAAATGAAAACTACCAATCAGTTATTTTTTACTTTTTAGTGCTTTTGTTTGAAGTCGGTTTTTATTAGTTTTCGACGTTCCGAATATTTTACAACACAATACAATCATGATCACGGAAGAGAAACCTCGTTAAGTCAAAAGATAGTTTTATTTAAAAAGTGTTCAATTCAATTTTCTTGTTAAAGGCTTCAAAGCGTGCCAGTTGAGCACAGATTATTTCATCAATGTCACGTAGAATGGAGAGAATACGAAGGAGATACATTCGATAGAAAATTAATAGAAACGTTAGTTAGTACTCTACGTGCCTTCAAAACAGTTGTATATTACGAGTTGACAAGTAAAAGGTCAACACTCATAACCCTCATTTAAATACGTCGGTTAAATTCTCCTAACTAATTTTAATATACGCGTTAAGGCGAAATGTTTATAATTTAATTGGTGCAGGCTTTAATTTCGAGGTAACATACGAACGAGCTAGCATTAGCGTACCTATTAAGGCAATAATTGGATATATTATACAATATACGGTATACACATTCAAGGCGAATCTAAATGTTTAATCTTAATATTTATTCAATATCAATATAAATGCAAGTGTTAATTTAATAATATATTTATTTTATTATACATATTTCTATTTTGTATGTATAAACGTGATAAAGTGAAACTCGTTACGTCCAGTCTAGGTAGCATCAGACTTACAAGATCAAAGAATAATAAGAAAACTTTAATAGATTGTTACAGTTTGGTATCCAAATATTGTAATATCGGAACAAAAAAAATTGTCGCAACTTTTATAAGAAATATTTTTTACATGGTTAAAAACTCGTATTTTTAATTAGAACACCAAACTAACAGTCTACCAAATAAGAGCTCTCCTTGACCTTTTGTAGCGAAAGTCACCTTTTATGTCTTTAATGACTGAACAATTTATACTTAATGGAGAATAAACGGTGAGTTTTTTTATATAAATGTACTTTACTATATGTGAATACGATCACGATAAAGTCCACATAGATTCTTCGAACACTTAGGAGTGAAGTTAGGTACTTGTTATAAATTGGAAGATTTTGTTTTACTAATTTTATCGTTTTTTTAAAATGTATTTAGGAGATTTATTTAAAAAAATGTACTATAAGTATTTTTATAATTTATTGTAAAAATATTTTATTGGTGCCAATGTAATTCCATATTGTTTTCCCATAAAAAAAGTAAAAACGCAGCTCCTTTTAAATTCAATGCTGAAAACGTTTATGATTAATTATTCCATATTTAAAAACTTTAAATGAAATATGTATTATAAAAACTTTCTGATCTAACGATAATATTTATAACTGTTCTATGTAGTTTCATTTATATCCTTTACTTACAATATATAAATGGAGTATACGTGTTACCGCAAAAGCTCAAACTACGTAAAATTAAAACTTTCAAGAAAATATGACAATTATTTAACATTTGCCAAATACGAATTATAACCTAAGTTTCTTTAGAATACTTGTAAGTAAATCACGAAATGTCCAACTTTTTCCTATTGAGACTATATAAATTTTAGATTTTACTGGTAATATTGGAATGAACCGTAGTTCCAACTATGACAGTAACATAGACATTAAGAAGACAATAGTGACAATAATTGCAGTAATAATTCAATAAGATTAGGACTCTTATATACGGTAATAATACAACAACATTACATACAATTCCAAAGGCCTTTCACTCGAATAAGGCATTTCTTATTCTACGTTATTCCATAATGTGTACACATTCGCTATTGATAAAGTGTTTAATGAAATCAATAAAAATAATGGCTGACATAATATTTTGCCATTATTACAAGCTCCCTCTGAGAATTTCTTTCACGAATAGAGAATATTTTAATGTTTTTTGTTCTAATAATACAGTTTACAAAACGTATCACCAATGTGCACACATACAACATATATCAGGGGGTTAGCAACCGTTTTCAAATCGAGAATTATTATTTTATTTACGGCAGTGTTTTATCTTTATTCGTTTGACATGTTTAATCAATATTTAATTAATTTTAAACCCACTGAAAATTGTTACAACGATACGATCTTAACCAACTAACCTATCAAATCAGTCTTTATGCGGAAAGACGGCTTTCAATTCCTCGCGCAACTCCAAGGCTGAATAAAGGCATACATTTACACAAAATGGCGGACACGATTTCAACTATCACACACGCCAACCGCAATATAGCAAAACGTACTTTAAAGCATTACATCTGCCTACCCATCTCACTATTAATTTGAATGAATGTTACTTAACTTTAAATATATTGCGATTGGCATACCCTTAATTACCCTTAGAGGAATGTTACATACAACCTACGAAACTGCCTTTATGGCTTTATAAGATCGAACTTTCTAGATAAGATATTATCTTATGTATCATAAAGCTAATTTTAGCTAACAGTAAATGAAACTTCTTTGCATTTACAAGGCAATATGGCATGATTTGAAGCTTTCAACTCGCAAAGATAGAAAATCGGGAACTAATGTGTCAGTATTTAATATAAAATTGATCACTGCAATGGAAGATCTAGTTTTCACCGATGGCGGCGCTACAGACTCGCAAAAAAGAACCCAAGAAGTTTCACTTGTTCTTATTACGCCAAGTTGTACATAATTATGTATATACTGTGGTACAGTGCATTTATCGTTTTATGCAAAAAGAACAATGTCTACGTTTCGAAATGTTTGTAAATACTGGTCACGTACGCCATCACCTGCTGCCAGTCCGGTCGCTCCTGCTGGATCATGTCATGTATATTCTGTCGACAAGTTGTACCGATTAATTAGTATTAGTTGACGTCTAAATAAGAAAAACTATTGTTATTTTTTTTTTCAAGGTAAGCTATTTTTAATAGTATTTGCCATATTTAAGTAAGTTACCTCGCTTAAATATATACAGTATCATCCTGGTTTTATTCTAACCAGTTTTTGTTTTTTTTTCTCAGTAATGAGGTATTTTCCCGCGGCAAAAAGTATCCTATATGTTGACCCGGATAACCAGCTATCATCATACCAAATTTCATCAAAATCCCTTCAGTGGTTTTTCCGTGATGCGGTAACAGACAGACAGACAAAAATTCTAAAAACAATAGATTCGGCCCCTGTATTGACAATAATGTCTATTTCAATAAGATTTTCCAAAAAAAATTTAATGTACAGATTTGATTTAGTTAGAATTTTATTATATATACTATTCTTTATTGCACTTATATGTAAAATACAGAGAGAAACAAACAATAAAATTAGTTAGCAAAGGTGGACTTATCTCTAGAAGAGATCTCTTCCAGTCAACCTAAGTGAGTTAGAGAGATAGTATTAAAATGCAGGCTAAAGTGCAGTAACTCAAATGTAAATACCTAAATAAATATATATTATATATACATATATCAAAACATTATACATATTATATACCATATGTACATACTACTAATATAAAGTGCAGTACTACTACATACACAAATACATATCTATATAATATAATGCATAATAATAGTAGTTAATATAATTATTGTGGAATAACTTGGGTGAGAAAGTGCTGTTTTATTTTCTTTTTAAAGGCAGTTATAGAGGGGCTTAATTGGATGTCTTTCGGAAGTTTGTTCCAGAGCAATGCGGCATACACCGAAAAAGATTGTAGAGAGAACTTAGTGTTGCTCTTGGGTATGTCAAGCATCGCAGTAATGCAAGGCCGCCTGGAACGAGTAGGAGTAGGGAGAATTTGGAAGCGAGAACGAAGGTATGAAGGAGAATTGGGATCATTAAGAATATTGAAGAGGAATGAAAGGATATGCATATCACGGCGAAGGCGGATTGGGAGCCATTTAAGTTGAGCACGAAAGTTTGATATATGGTCATGCTTACGCAAGCCAAAAATAAAACGAATAGCGAGATTTTGAAGACGCTCTAATTTGTTGAGTTGCTCCTCAGTCACATCTAAATAGCACACATCAGCGTAGTCGAGTATGGGGAGAAGAAGGGACTGAGCAAGCTTAATCTTGGTTTTGAAAGGGAGGAAGAGTTGGAGACGCTTGAGAGAGTGAAGAGTATGATGCATAAGTTTGCTGACCTCGTTGACATGAGCCGCCCAAGTCATGTTACAATGCATAATTAAGCCCAAGTTTTTTACTTTATTACAATACGGGATTGGAACACCCGAGAACTGGACTGTAGGTGTCGAGGTCCAATCGATTTTGCACCTCAGTCGACTACTGCCAAAAATTATGGATTGTGATTTGCAGGGATTCACAAGGAGGCCAAAGGACTCTGCCCACGTTTGGACCCGGACAAGATCCGAGTTCAATGCATCAATAGCTTCATGTAACTCGGTCAGCTCACAATGTCGATATAATTGTAAGTCATCTGCATACAGATGGAAGGGAGAAGAAATGACTTTTGATATGTTATTAATAAATATTGAAAAAAGTAAGGGAGAAAGTACGCCGCCTTGAGGTACACCAGCAGTAAGATCTAGCCAATCCGATGATGCATCGTTGGTCTTCACTGCACTGCTGGCGTCCGAAGAGATAAGAGTGAAACCAGTCTATAACAGTACTAGAAATGTTGACCGCACGAAGAGTTCCCATAAGGATGTCGAGATCCACAGAGCTGAAAGCGCTGCTAAAATCAAGTAAAACCATCACAGTGAGCTTGGTTTTATCCATAGCACCACGAATATCCTCTGTGATATTCAGCAGTGCACCAACTGTACTATGGGAGGAGCGGAAACCGGATTGATAGGGACATAAGAGGTTATTGTGAGATAGATAGGAGTAAAGTTGATTGTGTGCCAATGATTCTATGACTTTGGATAGGATAGGAAGAATTGATATAGGACGGTATTGAGTGAGATACTTAGGATTCGGGGATTTAGGTAGGGGTATGACGAAAGCTTTTTTCCATAAAGACGGGAAGACATTGCGTGTGAATGAGAAGTTTAGAATGTGAGTGATCACAGGTGCAATATCTTCCAGTACCGGAAGAATCATGTCGCGGCTGAGGTCGTCACTACCAATGGCTTTTGTGTTTTGTTTATATGTATAGATAAATCATAAAATCGATACACACATTACACAAATGAATAAAAATATGAACAAAATACTTTATTTCCAAAAAAAACATATTATAGAGCAATTGGTGATTGAGTAAGATTCGTACTTAGGTTATTTTATTTTTTACCGTATTTAAAAAAATCTTATAAAACTACATAAACTTCAAAATTTAATCCTTGGATTGGACAATTTGGAATCTTATTATAAATAGATCTGAAGGTTGCCACGATTGACATTTTTTTAATTTTTGTACACTAGAACCTGTACAGCTTCGCGCTTATGTAGCGTGAGGAAGAGAGAGAGAGAGAGAGAGATAAGATAAGACACGCTTCCAATATGAACGTTACGCGCACGTAGTACTTATTTGTATAAAATAGAAAGAGAAAGATATGTAAGGTGTGTGTATATTTCTCTCTCTCTCTCTCTCTCTCTCCGTGTGTGTGTGTACCAGGGTGGTGGGCACGCCGACGGCCTCGGCGGCGGCGAAGGCGACGGAGAAGTTGGTGCGCTTGTCGTGCGGCGCCAGCGACGCGTACGGCACGCGCGCCTCGCCCAGGTACGAGTGCAGCAGCGCGCACAGCGCCATGCCGTCGTTCCACGACGAACTGGGGTTGCAGATACATACATATACATACATGTCAGTTAGCCTTTGTATTCAGCTCTTTTTAACGTCCCACTGCTGGGGGTGGGCCTCCCTTCAGTACGAGGGGAATCAGGCCATATTCCACCACGCTGGCCGAGTGCGAGCGGACTGAGCATGTCTTTCGAAATCTTGAGATTCTCTCAGACATGCAGGTTTCCTCAGGATGTTTTCCTTCACCGTAAGGCAAGTGGTAATCATGTGAGAAATGATTCGCACATGAAAATGTCAGGGATACGAGACCCGGGATTTGAACCCGCTTCAATCGGTTTCCCAAACGGACGCGTTACCACTGGGCTAACACTGCCTTAAGTTTTAGTTAGCTGACCTTTACTACGTTTCAATAGTTAGATAGAATTATTAAAATGGCATCTGAGTAAATCATTCTTTGGTGTGGTAACTTTGCATTTTAGGCAAAGTAAACAAAACAAAGGTATTCGAAAGTTTTTTCTATAAACACTAACATTACTCAACCGCTACCATATTTTTTTAAATATGAATAGAAAACACAAAAATTAGCAATATGGTGGCCCAAAATATCAAAAATCGCTTAAGTATAAGAAAATTATGAGAACGAGAGTTGATTCACATATATTGATTGTATTATGCACCATGAGTAAAAAAATATTGCAATGTGACAAAAGTCCTCGATTTCTTAAAGATCAACCCCTTTGCTGGTAACAAAAGAAAATTTACCTAAAATTGGTGATATCAATATTATTGTAGCCGAGGGTCTTCTGCTGACACCACTTGAGCAGCGCGTTGCGTTTGGAGCCACCGTTCTTCACTTGCAATGCGTTTAGGGGATCTTTTCTTTCACCTGGATATAGAATATAAATAAATATAAATATCCTGAAATAAAACGAAACTTAAAAGTTTTCCGGTGACTTGGAGTTTTACCAACTTTTATCATTCATTATTATTATGAAAAAAAAAAATTTCTTACGCTTATAATAATTGATATATATATTATTACGTGTTGTCTGTACGTCAGTAGGTACGTATAATGTATCAATTAAACCCTTAACCCTTTTGATGTCAGTGATCTTAGATTACTACATATTTACATCTGGAATTTACGAGGTTTATTATTAATACACAACTTATATATTGATTACGTCATGGTTTTATTAAAGTTAATTGTTAACTTATAGCCAGGACTCAAAAAGTGTAAAACTTTCCTTACATTATTAAATTTTCGCCATCTAAATCGGAAGTAAAATTTCGAAGATAACATTAACATGATGGATACCATGATATGATCGTTAAAGATGAACTGATTTTAGTAATTTATGGGGTAGGTAGCCCCATATAAATATCAACACCACATAACTCACCTAAGGGGTAAAAACCGGTGTACACTATCTTTACGGTGCAACCGTAACACACTCGTATTACAACTAAGCATTTTACTCGACACGCGTAATTCATAAATATTTTAATTCATAAAAATCTAGCCAGTTCGCGTTCCGCTAGCAAGTAAGCTGCGCGTGCTCACAAGTCCATATCATGTTCATTATCATTTTATAAGTCATTATCATTTTATAAGTCTACAGACAGTAATTAGTATTAGGTGTTAATTTCAAACGTTTTTCATTTTTAAATGACTTCCAAAAAGGAGGAGGTTCTTAATTCGCATTCGAGGTTCATAATTTTTTATGTATGTTCACCGATTTCTCGAAGACGCCTGAACCGATTTGGAAATATTTTTTTTGTTTCAAATGGTATACTTCCCAGGTTCCATATAAATATTATCGAAATCGGTCGAACGGTTTTTTAAAAAAATCAACAATATTTTTATTTTAAATAAACTGTTTCTTCTTACAAATTACCTGCTTATTACGTCTACACTAAAAATTGAAAAATAACAATCTAATAGTGTATTAGTTAACAAGAACCGGTACACTATAAGTCAAGAGTAAATAACAATAAACAGTACAAAGGTCTACTCACATATATCCCCATAGCTGTTCCGCCGCACGAAGGACTCCATGGCCTTCTGCTGCAGCGAGGCGAGCGCGCGCTGCTCGTCCGGCAGGTTCACGGCCGCCTCTGCCCGCGCGCACACAACAAGCTGGCTTACTCGCACGCGCGCTTTGTGTCACTTACGTATGTATGTATGGACACACTACCCATCCGTACAGTCTGACCAAGATATTAGACACGGCAGTCGTTTGGAGACGCGCACTTGACTGTCTTACTTTTATATGCCAGTCGGGAAGCGACTTTAGGGTTGACGAGTAAATTGTAACTTGCCACAAGATGGCGCTACTCGAAACCGTTCGTTCACCATGACAATTTGGTATTTTAGACAACCCTTGCATTTGACAGCGTTTTCGTTAAAATATGTACTGTACGGATTTGTATACTGTGTTCATATGTTATTCGTACTTGTGTGTAGTGGTTTACTACTACATACTTCAATCGACATAATTGCTCAAAAACCATTGGAAATCACAAATAAATTAATCTTTAACTGTAAAATTGTATATTGTATAAAAATAAAACTCCATCTCAAGATGTAAGTGTAGATAATATCGATAATTTTCCAATATATTTTTAAGCAATTATTTTTTTATTGTATAAGTGACACAAAGCGGTGAAAGGAAGTCATATGGTCGCTAGTTACAATGAATAGCTTCATCAAGAACAATCACCAACGCTGACCAATTAAATAAACACAATATTATTTTGTATTATAATCAATACTTCACTAATAATTAGATAAAGCAAACTATAGAAAGATTATAGAAAAGCAAGTGTAAAACATACATAGTTAATTTATAGTATTATTAATATATATTTATTCCATATAACCAAACATACAAACAAACGACAAATGTTAAAAAAAATCAATTAAATATTGATACTTATTTATATTTTGAAGAAACAAGAAATAAGTTACTTTGCTACTTAAATATAGTGGCGAGAGAAAGATATTGCTGTGAAATCAAAGATAAGTAGATTAGTAATGAAAACATAAACTGTTAGTTACAAACAGAGAAAAACAACCTTTTATTAATACAAATAAACTGGTCAGGTTTCAAAAAAAGTTTATTAAAGGTCAATTTCAACTGGGATAATATATGAATAGATACACAAACAAACAAATAGGTTAGTCAATAGATAGCTATGCGCCTCTGTCATGCCGCCATGCTGCAATAGAAATAAGCGAACACATGCGGTCAATGTGAAAATTGTACAATTAGTTTATTATAACAAGATAACAAAATATAAATAATATTATATTCTTTATAATTTCGTATTTACTATAATAATATAGTTTACAAATTAAATATATTAAAAAATTAGAACGTAATAATAATACAGTTATAACGTTTTAGACATGTCAAAGATGAAATTTTAATGTTCAATTATAATTAATATACTACGCAATGGCTGACTCCTAACCGTTTCTTTGATGAGTCTTCAAATTTCCTTTAGATTTAAGTCTATTAAAGCGACAAATATTTTTTTGCGGCACCGCTTTTGTGATATGTCGATAAATAGTAGCCTATGTTTTAATCTAGGAAAAGCCATCTCCATTTCAAATTTCAATATAATCCACTGAGCCGTGTAAAAGTAACAAACATACATATACTCGCAAATATATAAAACAAATTATATATACACACACAGGTGCGTCCATAAGTGCTCAACAGTAGCTTAAATGACCAGGTCACAGTCCATCTGTTCAGTAAACTTTAACCAAATCCGTCGTCGTTTCAGCGTGAAACGATCGCACACACGGACACACACACGCACAAACATTCCCACGTACAGTAGCGGGCCGACAACACACCTGTACTGATGGGTGAGGCGCGCGAGCGCGGCGCGGGCGGCTTGAGCGCGGGCGCCAGGCCGTTGCTGGGCGGCGCCGCCTCCGACATACCGTTCTTTACGTTGTTTGTGTTCGTCGCGCCAGGCGTCGACTGTACCTGGTGGGATAGGAGATAAAGTTAGATGATGATTAATTAGTATGGTACTTTAGTAATAAATGTTATTTTAAATAACATTTACACTAATATTATAAAGAGGCAGAGTTTGTTTTTTGTTTGTTTGTTTATTTGAACGCGCTAATCTCAGGAATTACTAATCTAATCTGAAAAATTCTTTTCGAATTAGATAGCCCGTTTATTGAGGAAGGCTATAGGCTAGATATCATATAGTATATTATCTATATATTCATTCACATATCCTTTGTATTAGATATATAGCCATTTATCAACGATAATTGTAAACTATTTACCTGAGGCCACTCAGTAACGGGTGTGGTTGCCGGGGACTGCTTTGCTGCTTTCGCTGCGTTCTCTATACTCTCTATCAGGGACTTCACAGACAGCCGCGAGTCTTGTCTGCTTACACCTAAAATTACATTTAATAAACATTTTTATCAAGATAACAGAAGCGTTGGAATATATGCACTATACATGTTATGCTTAAAGACCAAAATCGATCGAAAAAAAATCCACAACGCGTTTTGGCTAAACCAAAAAGGACACAATTCGTACCTTGGCTTTAATATTAACTCGCAAGCTATGCTATAACGCATTCTGAACATTGAATTCTTAACAGCGCGTTACAGCTTTTACTTGCAATGAACGTCTTCTGTCTTTGAGTTTATCATATACATAATATATGTATGTATATTTATATTCAAAATATGAAAACGCATATAAAAATATACCTTTAGTCCGTCTGTGCGAGGCCGCAGTGGCCATAATGTCTTGTAGGGAAGCGCTGGATAGCAGCGGCGGCGGTGTCGGTGTATCTTCTGTACGGGGAGGTAGAGCTCATAATCAGAATTATTATATTAACTGTAGAATTTTAATGAATAAATCTCTTTTAAATCTAAACTAACCAAAGTAAATTTTTCATTATGTTTTAAAAAGAAATAACTGACTTTAAGTCATAAAAAAACATGAAATTATATGAAAAATAACGAATATGTTATGAAATATAGCTTGTATCCTAGCTATATACAAGATATAATTTTAATTTTGACAGGATTTTCCAAAGAATATATGTTAAACTCTGCTGAAATTATTATCAGCAGTATAGTACATAAGCCGTCACCCTCAAATTCATATTTAAAAAAAAATTGAAAGCAAAATGCAAGAAATATATATATTTATAAGCCAATTCATGATTAATTTTCTGTATAATACCGAATAAGGAGTAATATTTGCTCATTTATTACTACCTAGAACAACACGGATGAAATAATATAGAGTTAATGAACTGCAAAACTAATGAAACAACAATATCGTTTAGCCTTCAATATTCCCATCTTTAAGGAATATTTGAGAATGCTAAAGGCTAGACGAGTGAACATTACCAACGATAGTACTGAGAACACATATAATGCATACAATGACCAGCACCGGACCACCACCAAATGAAACACTCTAAACAACACGAGGCACACGCCGAACGGTTATTTACATTCACAGACACACGGTACGCTTTCAAAGCCTGACTTACGTAGAGGTGTGGACGTCGACGAGTCGTATAATGACCTAATTGGATGCGATAGCCGCTTGTGTTCTAACGTCTTCCAATGATACTGTTTTCCATATCTGGGTAGAGAGCCTGTATCTACTTCAGTGGTGGGAGATTTTTGATTTTGAAGCGAAAATTTCCTTATAGCTACTTCTGGTCTTCCATCATGTTGGGTTTTCTCCAAATTTTGAACAATATCCCCGATGGATCCAGTACTTTTTCTGATTATTTCATTCGCGCTTGGTGTCCGAGACAATGATATAACAGATTTGGTTATATGAGCCACTTCTTTCGCAATCGCTTTGCAATCACTGGATAAGTTATACCGAGCTTCATGTTTTTTCTTCCTTTTTGGTTTTCTAGGCACTTTTAAGAGCTCCTCTCGAGGTACGTTTTCAAAATCTTCCCTAAATGTGTTATTTGATATTTTATCTTCATCTGCTATATTATTAATTTGTTTGTTGGGTACAATCGGCTCTCCAATTTCCTCATAGTAATTTTCAGTTTCGGGCTGTTTCAAAGGTTGATCAAAAGATATAAATGGATTTGCACACACTCTTTTTATATCATTTTGTTCTGTGGCTGTGTTTTGTTTAACAAATGTCTGCGCCGTGTTAATAACAAATGGCACATTCTCTAGGGGTTGGTAATATTGATTGTCAATTAACCATTGAGGCATTTTAGACAACCTGCCTATTGGTTTTATTGGGCTTGGAGTTTTGCTAGGGCTTCTAACTGACGAAGTCGCTTTTGATTCTATCACATTTTCTTTTGATTCAACTTTTCTTAATGGAAGGAGTTGTGGAGGTTTACTTTTACTATACTTCTGATATATGCCTTTCTTTTTATTCTCAGATTCTATTTTTGGTTCAGAAGTGCTGATATCATTATTTATTACTTGATCTATGTCGTCATAGTATACGGTCGAATTTTTATTTTGATTTCTTTTATCCACATCTATAAGCCCACTGTTAGGTTTTAACAATATGGGTTGTATTAAGACAGGACTTAGTATTATTGGAGAAGATCCACCTTCAATATTTGCATTCATTATATTGATTGGCGTCAACATTGTATTCATCTTATTATTAACTTTACTGTGTACGGGATTCGGTGAATTATTTGACGTTGCAACGGTTGATAAACTCGGGGATGTAAAATCACTGATGGTATTTATTTTTAATCGATAACTAACGTTATCGTCTATTATCGATTCGTGTGACGGTTTTAGATCATTATTTGGCATTGAATTTCCGCTTTTGGATTTTTCCATTAAAATTTCAGGATTCTGATTTTGAATTAAATTTTCTTTACTTATTATATCTACCTTGTTATCATTACCATCTAAAATAGAAACTTGTTCTATAGAATGTAACGAATCGGTTGATATTAAATCATTTTGCGGTATTTTGGTAACGTGTGAAACTATTTTAACCTCATCAACCTGCTCTACATTATTATTTATTAATTCCATTATATTATCTTTATGCCTTTTAAATTCATATTCCCCTTTAAATGTCGAGAGACGTTTAACTGGTTTGTAATTATCTGGAATATCTGAACAAGCATCTGATTCGAGCTGGATTGCCTCAGCTGTAACTTTAGATAAACTAAGTTCATCCTTCGGTATAGTTTGTGTTATTTTCGTTTTCTCATTCCCACTTATCCGATCTAGAGCTGCTTTAAAGTTGAATTTTATCTCTTCATTGGCTTTCTTTAGATCCTTTTCTACAGGGTCATCCACGACACTTGACAAACACTGGATAAATATGTTGTCAGAGTCAATTTGTTCATTTCTGATATCATCAGGATAAGGGTATGGAAGAATAGATTCTGCCTTAATAACTGGTATTTCTGTGGATTCTATTTCCAGCGACGAATTGGACTCATTATGTTCATGGTTAGTAATATTGTTAATTTTAATTTTATTTTCTTTATTCATATGGTTAATTATATTGTTATTTTTTTCAAACCGACTTATGAAAACGTTATCTGACCCCTCACTGTATAAAGAAGATTCACTAAAAGTATAAGTGTCACCTAGGAATTCTATACTAGTAGCCTCTTTGAGAGCATTTTTAAACTCCCCGTTTGCATTAAGATTATCCGTACTATACGACTTAAGTTTACCATTTAATAAATTAGAGAGATTCTTGGAATAAATAGTTTTTTTCTTGGATTTTTTAAAAATAGATTCAGATTTAGAAACATTCTGGATAATATCGGTGTCCAAATAAGAAAACTCATCTAAAGCGTCCTGACGACTAAGCTTTTGCAATGAAAAGTCTACGGCGTTTTGCCTCTTTAGCGCTTTATTTTCAAAGTGAGGAAGGACAGCTTCAGCTAAAATTTTACTCGAGTAGTCATTAGTGTTGTCCAATGACGATTTATGACTATCATCGTCATTTGTTTCATCTGTTGTAACATTATCGATTTCAAGCTTAAATTCTTTCACAGTATCATGAATATCTTTTTGTACAGAATTACTGTTTAATTTGAAAAATGCTTGATCTACAAGACTAGTATCCTTATTTTCATTAACACTATGAACTCTAGACAAATAACGGGTTCGTATATTTTTAAATATATCTTTGGAAGAACTATCACTATTGGAGTCGAAACTTTCAGAATCTGTCGGCAAACTTTTTCCATCTGAACAATTTTGTGCGCTATCCTTAGATTCTTGCCTGTCAACACCTGTTTTGGTACATTAAATTAACATTAGACAATTTATATAAATTATGTACATACATTTCGCATTAAGATGACACAGTTAGTTCTATGACTGCGACTACAGTTCAAAGCCTTACATAGAATTAGTGCGTGATAATGTTGTTAATTTGCTAATTAATCTGCAATTTCGTGGTATCATTTAATTTTATATCACATGCAATTTCTAAAACTACTAATAATGCATGGAACACTGAAACTTTGCTCAACTGTGTACAGAACCAAAAACCTATACTGGACTACTATTTAAAAACTAACATGCATGTCAGGCAAATTTCCATATAATAACATATTTGAATTACCTTGCAATATCTGATTAAGTATAATTACTTATTGATATTTTTTAAAAAAAAAATGCCTAAATACAAGTTAGCATAAACCAAAGATAAAAAAAAATTAAAAAAAATATCTCATGCTGTCATCATTCAAATCATTTCGTTCTCGAATCATTTCATTCACTTACCTTTTAAAGAGTGTGAGTGTATTTGGTCTTCCAACAGTCGAATGCGGTCCCGGGCTATCTTATTTTCCGAGACAAGCCGTTCGAGTTCTCTTTGCGCTTCGGTTTTAAAGTCGTTCGCGACGCGGACTGTCATTAATAAGTCGCTCTGGAATTGTTTCCATTCCGTTTCCTACATGAAAATATTAAAAATTAAAACAATTATTCATTTCTTCTTTTTATTTAGTAGGATGGCGTTAGTAAATATTTTTAACTGTTGAATTATTATTTTATGATCCATTGATATAGTACAACTTCTTTTTACATAAAAGTTATATATTTAATTATACCATGCTAATTTCCTTTGAAAATATTTTTGTTTTTGCATCTTACTATACGTGTGAAATATAGCAAAATAGCAATGTTTCGTCTAAACGCCATCTATTTAGGTCAAAACTTAGCCTGAAACATCTAATTTTTCACATAAATATTCTAATAGCATTAGCTCTTGGGCGTACTTTCGACCTGACTTTACCATCAGAGCAAGTTTATAATGAATGTCTCTGTATGGATATTAATTCGTGTACTACTACAGTATGTGTGTGGAAGTGCATGTGCGTGTGCGTGCATTTGTGTGTATGCGCGCGCGTGCGTGTGCCTGTGTGTGTCTGTGTACGAGTGTGTGCATGTGCGTGCGAGCGAGAGGACGCGATGTATACTTACGTCTCGCTCGCGGTCGCGGGTGAGTTGCGCGAGGCGCGCGCGCGCGTCCTGCAGCTGGCGCTCGAGCTCGGCCACGCGCGCCAGCGCCTCGCCCGCGCGCGACATCAGCGCCAGCTTCTCGTCCGTCACCACTTGCAGCTACGAGATACATCAATTATAGTATTATCATAAACTAGCTAATTATTTACCATGCAAGCTTAACCGAGGGCTTTAATTATTTATAAGATTTGCCCTTATTTTACGAAACAACAGGTTGGTGTTATTCGTATGAAGTTCTCGTTTATATAGGTTAAGCGGATGTCATAAGATACAAAAAAAGCTGTACCCTGATTCCAATAAAAGTGAAGTATATACTGTAAATATTCAATATATGTAATATATTCAATAAAAATATATAATGGGTACTGCATTTGCCAATAAAACATTACCTGAATTTGCAATTCAGAAGAATTATCTTTTAAAGTTTGTAGTTCTCCCTGCAGCGCGGCCTTCTCTTGACGAAACTGTTCCAACTGAAATTCTAATTCTGAGATCGTCGATTTGGCGTTGTTTCGAGATACCTATGCAACAAAAGTTATAATACAAATATATGTTTCGTGTTTATGGATTCGTGTCCCTAGGTTGATTCTCTCAAAACTATCCTATGTCCTTTCCAGGATCTCAAACTATATTCTTACCAAATTTCACGTAAATTGGTTCAATAATTTCGGAGTTTATTCGGTACAAACAAACAAACAAAATCTTTCTTTTATATTAGTATAGATTATTAGAAAAACAAAAGTGATAGATATAAACGGTAATGTTTTTAATACATAATTGGTAATACTCCAAGACACCAATTGACCGAATTCATTTACCATTAAGATTTACACTACCCAAATGTGTGTTCGCCTTGTCATGGCAAACTTAGTAGCGTCCGGGAATCCAACCTGGCAACCTAAAGACTCATTTGGGGTTTATCACTCTACTATCAGAGAAGTACTAGCATAGGAGCCATTCTCTGATTATTGTGAAAGAGAAGGTTGAGTTCATAAGTAACCTTACGACACCACATTAAGCCCACAAAAGGTTCCGTTGGATTAAGTGTGTAGAGTGAGTCTCCACATAACCACGTCATAAAGTACAGATGGCATACAACAAGAGTGTGTGTACTAACGAGCGCGTCGTCGTGCAGCTTGCGCGCGTCGGTGTGCGCGCGCTCAAGCTGGCGCTGCGCGTGCGCGAGGCGCTCGGCCAGCGCGTGCGCGCGCGCCGCCGCCGCCTCCGCCTCGCGCCGCGCCGCCGCCGTGGCCGCCGCCTCCGCCGCCGCCGCGCCCTCCGCCGCGCCCGCCAGCTGCCACACCATACGACATACTGTACTACACTATTATTATTATTTGTTCATATTCATAAGCCTCGGTACTCAGTACCGGAGTATCAACAATCACGGGCCTAAACCAAGTGAGTGCCGATGTATTACGGATTATTATTTAAAAAAATTCTGACTAAACGACATGTCTTAGAATTAACAGATTTGAGGTGTAAAAAGAAAGGTTTATTGCAGACACGTAATGATTTAATCGAGATCGATTTACAGAGAGAGAAGGTCGGTAGAAGAAAAAATAATTAGCAGTAGAAAGTTAACACAGAATCAACATTGCCTTCAAATATGAAGAGGCGCTAAAAACTATTTGAATAGTAATATTAATATTACATAAATTTATAATTAATTATAGTATAGTTTTATAAATACGACATGTATTAAGTATAGCTGCTTTTTGTAGTTGTACGTAAGTAAATGGAGGAAGCCCGAACAATTTAATAGATTGATTTAGATTCTTTATTATTGTTATTATTTCAATTCTTTTAATTAATGGCAACTAAAGATCTTGACAACTTTTATTTCTGTCAATATCAAGTGATTTAATTTAATTGATATAAATCACACGGTTGTTTTGGTTTTATTGTTTTTTCATAGATTCAAAACGACGCGGGTTTCGAGACGCCATCCGATCCAAAACAAATTGTCCAGACGTTCGATGCGTTCGAATTCAGAGTATTTTAATGTTTTCATGTATCTATTACTCAAAACATAAGCTTGAGCAAAACCCGAGAGCGTCGTACCTGCGCCTTGGCGGCGGCGAGCAGGTCGCCGAGCGTGGCGGCCTGCCGCTGGCGCGCGCCCGCCGCGTCGCGCGCCGCCGCCGCCTCCTGCTCGCAGCGCGCGCGCTCCGCCTCCAGCCGCTCCGCCGACAGCTCCAGCGACCTGCGCACAACACATACATACACACACATAAAACAAATATGTTGCGACATTAACACACAGCACCATCTAGTTCTACGGCAAGCTACGAGGCCTGTGTTATAGATACTAGATAGTTGATACACTACACATATTATATCACTTTATATTGGAATATAGCCATAAACCAGAACATATTGTCTATTACACGTTATATTTATAATCTATGATACACTTAAGCGTCTACTCTGCTTTGTCTTTGCCTCTCTCTCTCGTTCTCGTTGTAAACCGGTGTCATGTACATTCTCGAATCTCAATATTGTAATAATTGTAATACTGTGATTAAAACACCTAATACAATAATATTGCTTTATTTCATCAGGTTATGGGCGCAGGTCGCCTAATAAGTGATAATATAGTAAAACCAATTCCGATTGTTAAAATAAAAGTAGATTACATTTCTTTGTTAAATTCACGCGGTACGAAGTTCGTAATTTTTCTGATTTTTAGGTTAGCATAGCTGGTATTACGTGTAAAGATTTGCACTGACGTAAAATGGCTATGTCTAATAATATTCATATTGACAAACTATTAGGAAGAGAGAATTACAGCACGTGGAAATTCGCAGTACAGACATATTTACAACATGAAGACTTATGGAGCTGTGTTGAACCTTCCGAAAACATTCCGGTAAATCCGAAGCTCGACCTCAAAGCTAAGTCGAAAATCATATTATTTGTGGACCCAGTAAACTACATACATGTCCAAGATGCGAAGACTTCCACTGAGGTATGGCAAAATTTACAAAATGCATTTGAAGATTCAGGTTTAACTAGGAGAGTCGGTCTATTAAAAGACTTAGTCAATACAACTTTAGAAGGTTGTTCAAATATTGAGGAATATTTTAATAAGTTGATAACCACAGCACATAAATTAAGAAATATAGATTTCTCTATAGATGATGAATGGTTAGGGACTTTAATGTTGGCTGGTTTGCCGGAGATATACAAACCAATGACTATGGGACTGGAAAGCTCGGGTGTAAAGATAAATAAAGACTCAATCAAAACTAAATTACTACAAAAAGTTAAGGAGTCTAATGTCTCTGTACTATACACAAAGCACAAATATATTCCCAGAAATAATAAGAGTAAAAAGCCAACCATTGGTCCTCGTTGTTATAACTGTAATGAGTATGGACACTTAAGTAAATTTTGTAATAACAATAAAAAGAAAGTTAACAATAAAGGTTTTGCAGCAGTGTTCTCAGCAGCTCATGGACAAGTAGACAAAGTGGAATGGTATGTGGATTCTGGAGCCTCCTTACATATGACTAACATTTCAGATTGGATGTATGATATCCGGGCAGCTCCGATAGATCATATTAAAGTTGCTAATAATACATCAGTTGCAGTGAAGCAAATGGGCAATGTGAATATTGATTTGGTTGGTAAGGATGGCACAATAAATCACATACAGGTGAGAGATATACTTTATGTTCCACAACTTAGTACTAATTTATTATCAGTCAGTCAGCTAGCAAAGAATGGATGTTAAGTAATTTTTAAAGATAAGAGCTGTGAAATATATTATGAGCAAAAGCAATTAATAACAACTGCATATCTTTCTAATAATATGTACAAGTTGAATACATTTAAAGGAAATTTAGCATTTCTGTCAGCTGTGGAGGGTCAGAATATTGATCTGTGGCATCGGAGGATGGGGCATCTCAACTACAATGACTTAAGTAGGCTTCCTTTGTGCACTGAAGGTACTAGTATCATACATCAGACGACATCTCCGTACACACCAGAACAAAATGGGCTTGCAGAGCGCATGAATCGCACTCTTGCTGAGCGTGCCAGATGTATGTTGTTTGATGCTGGACTATCAAAAGTATATTGGGCAGAGGAAGTAGAGACAGCTGCTCATATAATCAATCGCTCTCCGACTAGAGTCCTTAACTATGTGACACCATTGGAAAAACTGACAGATAACCTTGCCATTAGAGGAAACCATTAAAAGAGATGAGGACCCCAGCTCCGTTGACAATGTCCAGAATGACAGCAGCATCCAACATGATAATTATGATTCTGCAGCTAGTATCACAGATCATGATATTACATATGAACCAAGCAGCGATTGTACATTTGATTCACCTACAAATTTTATAAATCTCAGACCTCGACGAGGGCAACAAAGATGTACAGAAAATGAAGATGATGAGGTTAATTATGCATGTATGGTTTTAAGTCATGATCCATTAACTTTAGAAGAAGCTTAAAAAGAAAAATAACACTTGGATATTGTGTGACTTACCTCCTGGGAAGAAAGCCATATCTTGTAAATGGGTTTTTAAGACGAAAAAGAATGCAACTGGTGAAATAGCTAAATATAAAGCGAGGCTAGTAATTAAAGGCTGTGCTCAAAAGAAAGGCTTGGATTACAATGAAGTTTTTTCTCCAGTCATTAGATATTCATCCCTTCGATACTTACTATCTATAGCTGTGAAGTATAATTTAGATATTGATCAAATGGATGCAGTCTCAGCATTTCTTCAAGGTGATATAGATGAGGAAATATATATGAAACAACCCCCTAACTTTGAAGAAAATAACACACAGGTATGTTTGTTACAAAAATCCTTATATGGATTAAAGCAAGCCAGCAGACAATGGAACAAAAAACTAAATGGTACACTAAGAGAAATTGGCTTAAAACAATAACTCCTTGATCCTTGCATCTATTACAGAATAAGTGGAGAAGATATATCATTTTTAGCAGTATATGTAGATGATCTGATATTGTTCACAAATGTAACAGAAACTAAAAGTTATATTAAAAATAAGTTATTCACTAAATATGAAATGAAAGATTTAGGTCAACTAAAATATTGTTTAGGACTACATGTATCCAGAGATAGAAACAAAGGAATTTTATGTATTGATCAACAAAAATATATACAAGAAGTATTGCAAAAATATGGAATGCAAAACTGTAAAAATGTAAACACGCCAATTGATCCGAAGACTAAGCTTATTTTTGATGAGAAGTCAGACATAATTTCCGATAAACCATATCAAGAAATTATTGGATGTCTATTATATTTGTCACAAGGGACGCGCCCTGATATATCTTATGCTGTGAATACTCTTAGTAAATTTAATACAAGGCCCCAAATTCAGCACTGGGTTGCACTCAAACGAGTTTTAAGATATTTATAGTTCACTGAAAATTATGTACTGACATATAAGAAGAATGATAATGAAACACTATTTGCTTATTGTGATGCTGACTGGGCAAGCAGTGTTAATGACAGAAGATCATGCACTGGCTATGTATTTATTCATCAAGGTGCTGCAATATCGTGGAACTCACGACGGCAACAAACAGTTGCATTATCAACCACTGAAGCGGAATACATGTCTTTATCAAGTTGCACTCAAGAGGCAATATGGCTTAAACAAATACAAGAAGAACTTTGGCCACATTTAAACAGTATACCTATAATATTTTTTTGTGATAATCAAAGTGCAATTAAACTTGCAGGTTCTGAAAACTATCTATATTCCAGGTCGAAGCATATTGATGTAAGACACCACTTTGTTCGTGACAAGTTACACTTGAAGAAAATTGCTATTGAATATATCCAGGCAGGCGAGATGGTGGCCGATGCATTGACTAAAGGTACTCCGCAGATGAAGCTCAACTACTGCTCTTCGAAGATGGGTTTATGTCTAAGGGAGGATATTGGAATATAGCCATAAACCAGAACATATTGTCTATTACACGTTATATTTATAATCTATGATACACTTAAGGCGTCTACTCTGCTTTGTCTTTGCCTCTCTCTCTCTCGTTCTCGTTGTAAACCGGTGTCATGTACATTCTCGAATCTCAATATTGTAATAATTGTAATACTGTGATTAAAACACCTAATACAATAATATTGCTTTATTTCATCACTTTAAATACATACATATTATAAACTAGCGACTCACTCTCGCTTCGCTCGGGTTCGACCCTAACTAATTCCCCATACAAATTTTGATTCCCATTTTCACCCCCTTAAGGGATGATTTCCAAGATAAAAAGTATCCTATGTCCTTCCTAGGGTCTCAAACTATATTCTTACCAAATTTCATTCAAATCAGTTCAGTAAATCCAGAGGTTATCCCCTACAACGTCACAAACTTTACCTCTTAATAATATTAGTATAGACATAAACAGACCATAACTGGAGTACAAATATTCGTGTTCACCACACAAGTAAATGCCCCCAGCGAGACTCGAACCCACGACCGCTGACACTGCAAGTAGGATCAATACAAACTGAGCTAAGCGTGTCGTCTAAACATACACATACGACACTCCTCATTACCATTCAAATTAATATTATGTATATACATATTTATATTATAATTGATGTTTGTAGTTTGTGCCTACGCCGCACCTCATTATTATTTTTATATTTTCTCACGCTTGAAGGTTTCTGGTAGAGATCTCTTAAAGAAATAAGTCATCCTTGGTACACATGGTATTTGTTTTCATTTTGGTTTTTTTTCTGGTACATAAATAAATAAATAATATACTTTACATTTATCACTGTACTGGAGTGAGCATGGAGGATTCCCGAATGTCCAAACGCTTATTACGAAACTCAAACTGAAACTAAGAAACGCCTACTACGAAGGTAAAATGGTCGCAGAAGTCAATGCAAGCCTAAGGTCAAATAGACGCTTTTACTTTTTATGAGTTTTTTATCACGATTAAAAACTGATAAAGTCACTTTTTGTTTAATTAAATACAGAATGAAATTTACAATATTTTACAGATTTTAGTTTACACGTACATATTTATAAAATAAAATAGTTCGACAATTGGCCGACCAATGACATCTATAATATCTATTCAAGTACACAAAAATAACCTGGAGAATAGCCCGAATTAGCGCCGTCCAATATCTTCGTATGGGATGAGACATCTGTACTAATATAGTATTATGCCATCAATGAGTCATATTTAACAATAAGCACTAACCTAATCCTCTCAGACAATGTTTCATTTTCTTTGGTTTTCTCTTCTAGCGTTGCCTTTACTTCTCTCAACTCGGCCTCAAGTTGTTCCTGCTTACTTAACAGAATCCGTCGCTCTTCTTGAGATACCTACAATAGTAAAATATATTAAATTCATACTTAAAAAAAAGTATACTTATAAGGTGCATATTAAAAATGCAACTAGCAGTAGAAATGCAACGTTCGACGTCATATGTATGTATTGATACGAGTATGTTTGTGTTACAACAGTGTTTAATACAAAAAAAAAAACAGTACAAAGTAACTCATCTATACTTATATTATAAAGAGGAAAAAATTGTTTTTTTGTTTGTTTGTATCGCATAGGCTCCGAAACTACAGAACCGATTTAGATGAAATTTGGTAAGAAGATAGTTTGAGGCCCTGGAAAGGACATATGATAGTTTTTATCCCAGAAATCATCACTTAAAGGGGTGAAAATGGGGTTGAAAGTTTGTTGTGGTACTAGTTTTACATATTGACCAACAATACTCATACTATTAAGAATATCAATGAAAATAATGAGTTAAAAGTTAAAAAAGAATATTATGCAGATACCCGAATCGGAACATTAATTCGATCGGACCGAAAGCACATTATGATATTATGTGAGAGGATACTTTCGCGTTCAAGCCTACCCATTCATTTCATGATACTTACTTTTATTTAATTATTTATTTAACATTATTTCTACAAATAAAAATATTTCTGTGAAATAAAACTTACTTTTAATACAGCGAATAGTTGTTGTTGGTCCGTTTCCCCTGACACCACTGTCTCGGGCTCCACGCCCTCCCGCATTAGCAGCTCTTGTAGAGTGTCGACCTTGAATTATTTATATTCATCCTAAATCCCGAACTAAAAAAAATAGTCTGTCTGTCCGTGTCCGTGTGCAGAGCTCGTTAATGGTGTTTTTTATTCTTACATAGATGATTCAGCCTAGCTGACTTCTGAAGAAGTACATAATATGTACATATATATGTACGATAAAATTAATTCCGAAAAAAAAAATGAGCTTTCATTAGTCAAGGTATAGAATTTTTATAAGTCTTTACATTTAAATAGTTTTATATAAAACATGTAATATACTTTAGTCCGGCTGTCTTCCAGTTTCTCAGTTTGCCGACACAGGGACTCGAGCAGCACTTGCTTCTCGTCGGCCAGTCGTTCGTTGTCGGCGTGCGCGTCGGCCAGCTGCGTCTGTAGGTCGGCCAGTTCGGCCAGCGTCGCTTGCAGCTCTTCACTTGTGCTAGAAATAATAGATTGATTATTAATTATTATTAATGTATAAAAATATGTAGCAGCGTTAATTATTATCACACTACTTTTTAACCGACTTCCAAAAAGGACGAGGTTCTCAATTCATCGGAATCTTTTTTTCTTATATATGTATCATGTAATAGTTCATATGTGTTTATTACATATACAATAAAATTTGCTATCTGCACATGAATAGTAAAAAAGGTACCTCTCTGTATGCAAGAGATGCACTTGTGCGAAACGTGAGTAACTTTAGCGTTTTTCTAAAACCAGCGCTGGCCCTATCCCTTTATCGAGACTGAGCGAAATCATCTTTTGGTCGAGACTTTCACATCAAATAAGTAATAATTACTAACTTTTTCAAAAATCAACTATTGTGCAAAAAATAATACTTATTGAAAACGTTTATTGTATAACACATATTTTATTTTTCACTCGAAATTGATTTACATATTTGGCATTTTGGCACCCGGGCCACCTGTCGCCTAGAGCGTCCGTTCCTCTCGCTCTACCAGAACTCAGTGCCAGAGCCGTCTAAAGCGGACCCGAGACGATCCGTACCTATAGTGGTGTTCCTCCATCTGCAGGATGCGGTCCTGCAGACACGCGACGGACACCTCGCTGAGTGACGACGACGAGTGCTTGTCCCACTCCGGCGTGCTTGCGTCGCCGCTGTCACCTTCGCCCTGTTATTTTTTTAAATTACCAGTTAATACCTTATTAATTTAAGCTTTTGAGTTAAAATTTAGAATATAATGTGACGGTCGTACAGACAAATATAGATATACAGACATATATAGTACCCATAAAATCTTTATTATATATGTGTGTGTGTGTATACACATATGTGCATGGGGTCTTATTAGGAATATAGAAAAATTAGTTCAAATAAATGTCAATAGATGGCATTATATGTATCGAATTTTTCTTAAAGTTTGTGCAAAAGTAACGAAATATTTCCCAATAAAGTATATTATTGTTTTAAAATATTTAAACTTTTGCGAAAATGAAATAACGCGCTCGTAAATTAAAGTTAGCGTAATTTTATTGATCACTGAAAAGTAATAGGTTTTATTGTGCATATTTACAGATGGCGCTTCTAATTTTTATTTAACACAGTTTAAAAAAAATTTCATGTCATTGAAATACCTTTAAACACTTTCAGGATTAATTTTGCAATATTTATAATTTTAGTTTAGAAAGATATCTATTATACTTTTGTAAATTACTTACACATAGATGATAGAAGTTATTAAATCATAATAACGTAATACGTTATAAAATAATTATATATTATAATAATTATTTCTCACGTTTTTGCTCTATTTTAAAATATTTGTCGGGAAAAAAAACTTCTACTAAAATTATATAATTATATTTTTGTTTAAACTAAGTTAATGTGATTTCTAGTATTAATGACGAAGCCATGGTTAAAAAATCAACTTACTAATATATCTTACACATTATTACCTACAAGAAAAATAGAGAGATCCGAGATGAATTTCAGCATATTAATCACTTCTTGCGAGAATCGAAAAGTTTGTGAGTTTGTGACGTTGTAGGGGATAATCTCAGGATCTACTTAACCGATTTAGATTAAATTTGGTAAGAAGATAGTTTGAGACCCTGGGAAGGACAAAGGATACTTTTTATCCCGGAAATCATCCCTTAAGGGGGTGAAAATATAAATGAAAATTTGTATGGGGAATCAAAGTAAGCTATAATTTATAAAGATATATTAATAATTAAATTACATGAGCAGAGGGAAAAACGCTATTAAAATAAAAGAAATAACTAATAAACATCATACATTATGAGCTAGTGCGATGGAGGCGGGCGCGGACGAGTGCATGCGGCGCGGCGCCGGCGCCAGCAGCAGCTGCCGCTTCTCGCTGTCGGACAGCGGCGAGTGCGCCACGCCGCGCAGCCGCGCGCGCAGCGCACCGTTCTCGTCCGCCAGCCGCTCCAGTGCCGCCTCGCGCTCTGTATCTTGACTCTGGGAACAGAAGAACCAACGTATGTATGTATTTAAAGTTATATATGTGTATTGTATCAAATTTCTGGCATCCATAACACAAGCCTCGAAGCCTACCATGGAACTAGATAGTGCTGTGTGTTAATTTTTTAACATATTTATTTATTTAATGTTAGGTAAGATTACCAATTTTGACTGCAGGCATATAATGTAACATTAAAGCGTAATAAGCTTAAAGCTATCGCCAGGCAGTGCTGGGGCAGTGCTGAAAACAGTGGTAACACACTTGCTTGGGAAAGTGAAGAAGGTTCTAATCCCGGGTCTTGCATCTAAAATCTTAGTCTCTACCGTGACCGTGATGGCTGTAAAGCGTTCGAAATGTCGAGAAATAAAAAACAAAATAAATCCGCGAAACGATCCGAAAAGGTAGTTTTATTTAAAATGTCAAAAAGTATTATACCTATATATTGTGTGTTTTCTATATCACAATATTCAAAATCGTTTACAGTCAAATAAAAATATATTAATATGTCATTACAAAAGCACTAAAAAGTAAAAAATAACTGATTGTAGTTTTCATTTACTATACATACCTAATCAAATATTTTCGAAGTCGGTGTGCTTTGCTATGTATGGGCTGGCACCGATTTCGAAAATATTTGATTAGGTATGTATTTAATAGGTAGGCTTTAATTACTTAGCCAAAGCACACCGACTTCGAAAATATTTGATTAGGTATGTATAGTAAATGAAAACTACAGTCGAATTGAGAACCTCCTCCTTTTTGAAGTCGGTTGAAAAAATATAAAAGACACCATCTTGTGATTCTGCAATAAATTAGTGAAACGCAAATGTGCACGATAGCACACACCGCGAAAATCAGGAGCGGAAGCAACCAAGTCCAAGAAATAATTATTATCTTATAAAATATTATTATCTTTCATATCGATTTTAGTACAAAACATTATTCAATGTATAACATTTTAGATGTCTCAAAATCATCTATACTAATATTATAAAGAGGTAAAGTTTGTGAGATTGTGACGTTGTAGGGGGTAATCTCTGGATCTACTGAACCGATTTAAATGAAATTTGGTAAGATAGTTTGAGACCCTGGGAAGGACATAAGATACTTTTTATCCCGGAAATCATTCAATTAAGGGGGTGAAAATGGGGATGAATATTGGTATTGGGAAGCAAACTAGGGACGAACCCGAGCGAAGCGATGGTGAGTAGCTAGTACAATTAATAAAGTGAAAATGCTCATTTAACCAATATGTACAAAACCGTAATAAAATAAGAATCAAACTAAGAATAGATTTGTTACGACCGTGCAACTTCATTTAGTGCGTGATATCGAAAGTCGATAATTGCTAGAGGACAAACGAGAACCACTAATGGCCTGCACTCAGGAATTTGTGCCCTAAGGGAGATTTATCTGTCATTTTGTAATTACCTTCAATCGTTCGAGTTCAGTCCGCAGTCTGTCGGCCTCGTTGGCTCGCTCCAATAACTCGTCCACGCGGGCTTGCAACTGCGCTCGCTCCATCGTACTTGCCTCCAGTTCCTTTCTTAGAGATTCTAGCTCTCGCACACCAGATGTAAGCGATGCCTAATAAAAAAATTAACAAATAATATTAATAATCAAGACTAACTGTTAATACACATTTTCTTAATTTACCCCGATGCATAATTATAAAAAAAATATTTAATGTACTATTTCAACAGTCTATAATTTGAATTGTTTTGTCTATAACATTAGTAGAAAGTGAGAGCGACAAAGAAAGCAAGCATTGTTAATTATTCAACCAGTTCACAAGCGCGTACATGAATTGTTTTCACATAGTCGTTATTTTTGGGAATATAATGATGATGATGATGTTCTCCTGACCGATTTCGGCCACGGCGGCCAATCTCATTGAAACTAGCCAACTGCGCGGGAAATATTATAGTGCACAAGTGTACGCGGAGACACAAGTGCACTCTCTATTCCTGTCACTCTCATATTCCGGTGGGACGACTGCTCGACACGACCAGTGAGAGTTAAGGCGCAGGACCGACGGCTTTACGTGCTCTCAGAGGCACGGGAGTGAAACACCGCCAACCTCCCAACTCCGAGCTGTTACAGAGGCTTACCATACAGAAAGACTCAATAACTAAACTTGGCCCGACCCGGGACTCGAACCCAGGACCTCCGGGTGTGCAGCGGTACATGCTAGCCACTATACTACCGAGGAATATAATAAACAAACATTAACTCACCTCAGATGGTACTCTTGGTCTTAACTCGACCTCCTGAAAGCCCGGCATATGGTCAGCGTTCAGCGTGACTGGTAAGCTGATACACTCCTGGGATCCTCGTTCGTCTACGGAACCCGTCCCCAACTCCTCTGCGCTGCCATAGTCGTGTGCCCTGACCTGCCCATCCTCAAACTCCAAACCTTCCCTTAATTCAGGATCTTCTAACACAGCATTGTTATTTCCTAAATCCTTCTTTTTGTGCGCTTTGTGAAGTTTTTCTTTTGACCCGAATATCTTAAGGGTCTTTTCTCTGGCCGGAGCTACTTTGTGATGTTTCGAATCGAGGCTGGAGACCGACGGAGCACCTTTCAAGGTCGACTCCTGCTTCCCCTGACTTGGTCCTCTACGGAACAATGATTTGAACTTCATCATCTTGATCGTTATATCATAGTCGTTATGGTGTCACTGTTCGATGTGTTTGCATATCGTAACGGTCACTGCGTCCGCTGTTGTATGATCGGAATTATTATTTCTATTGTTTAGGGTCTAGCAAAAGAACCTCCGCATTAGCATATAAAAGGTTCTATCGAGGTCATGTCTAAACATGGAATACGTCGGGTGAAAAGTTTGAAGAGTGTTCGATACGTACAAAGAATAAAAACCAGTTTCGTTTAGAAATTAGCGTGACCTTTAAGGTTGTCAAGCATTTGGTCGGAATTCCGTCTATCGTTGGTTGTATTGTATGAGATCAATACGTTAAGTTACATTTACGAGACGACTTTGAAAGGACGTTAGTGTTTTATTTGCTTAACTAAAATAAACCGTTATCACTGCGTATCAAAGAGTTGTTACATGATAAAACGTTGTCGGCGTGTCGCATACACGTGTTATTGATTGTTGACATTTCTTAAATTTATGTAGTGTAGACTGGAAATGGCAGCAATCTTTAAACTGAAGGTCAGCTAAAATTTATAAATAGTTATTTTTTATTGTAAGTAAAATATCCAAGTTTAAATAATAAATTGTAAAAACTGACGAATATGTATGAATGTACCAAAACGACTGTAGATACGATATATATTTTGATATCCTTTTATACATATCACTTCTAAATTGCACGGCAGTAGAACCTGCGTAGCACTGAGTCAACTAATTGCCACCACCGCGGACCTATTGTAAATTTAATGAAGTAGATATCATGTCGGTATATTGAACTCGCATAATTGTAGATATGGCACTTGTTTCTTATATTTTTAAATTTGTGAACTACGCCATGACATTGGACTTTAATTAACGAATAAATCGTTCATTAATAAAAAATATAAATTAATTTATAATTCTTCTACTATTGATTTTATTCCTGTAATGAAAACTATAACGGTTTATGTAAATAGTGATTTTTTCAAAAGGATCTTTGATCAAAACTTATATTTTTATCTTTTTGTTTAAACAAAAAAGATAAAAACTAATATATTTTATCTGGTTTGATGAAACGCAAAACAACACGTGACATATTGCATTACTACAATACTCAGTCGCTATTTTCATTCTAAGTACATACAAATTGAATTACAGACACCGTTTCGTTTGTCAATTTACTCGCAAGCCCCGTGCACTATCCCCTGCACGCAAATAAAGGGGTACTGACCACACCCAGACCCTCTTATTTCACTTTTATAGTCCCATCATTGTATATCTTATTGTTACGTTAATGATAATGCTATAGGCAATATGTAATCTATTATAATCCTAATTCTCTTAATTAAAGCAAAATATGTACACATATAACAAATATTCTTCATATTATTTAATATATATGTAAAGAAAACCACTTCATATGCGAGTGCTTTTTTTTAAGTTTATTTTCATTACATAAATACTTTTTAATTGATTCCAAATTTACTTTTTTTTAGTTTTTAATTTTGACATTTAATAAAATACATAATTGATATAGTATGTAATTATAAATTTTCCTCGAGAAGAGTTTATTTATTAGTTTATTGTTATTTAGATTGAAATAGAGGCTTTAAATGTTGTTTCTTTTATTATTACACGTGAGTTAATATTTTATTGTAAGTGTAATTTTTAAAATGTTTTTTGTATTTAAATTCTAATAGTGAAATAAATCTTTTATTATTACAGAAACGCAGTTAAGTTTTTATATTTCAAATAAGATAAATAACATTTTTATATATATTATATACCCATATTTCTAAAAGTTATTTTCAGATTTGATAGCTTGATATGGGGTTGAATTTTATCAAATTTTCATTCTTATTTAACTCTAGGAATAATGCCAACAAACTTCTAATCAAACTATTTTAGCCGCAGGTATATATACCTATATTGAAATATATGTAGGTAAATCAATTTTATTAAAATAAGAGAAATAAAACATTAAAAAATTTTCCCACTATAATACTTTGACTTTTTGAATACATCTCTGCGTAAATAGAATTTATATTAAAAATTTATTTATTTTAAATTTAGGTGATCAAGACGGATTATGATAGAAATTGATATTATAGAAAAATAATACCTCAGTGTAATGTAAACCGTCACCGATAATGTATCATAGAGCAATAATGCGGTGAACACCCAATGATATATATACAGACGTGACAGTGTCGTGACATATTGTAAATATAACTAAGAGATATACGAATAAATCTTTACAGATTCAATACGCATGGCGTTGCTTATTGAATGGCATGCTTCGATCAGAGGTATCGTCTGTTAGGGTAACCATTAAAATTGTTTAAGTTTTAATTAAACGGCTAGATAATATCACTCATGTGTGATACAATTATAATAAAAACATAATGTAAAAAAAAACAATTAAGTATAGATAATTTAAAAAAAATATTATCATATTTAATTAGATAATATATTTTATCTGCTTTATACTACGATATTACTATTAAATACTGCTAGACTAATTGGGCTTAGTCACATAGTGAGAGAAAAACTTCCTCAGAGAAAAATGGCTACTTTATATCACTCAGTACGATAACTTAATAGTAAAAAGATTGGCAACGCAATATTGTAAAGCGTTTAAAATGTTCATAGAATTATTTATAATATTTAAAGCCACATGGACACCACACCATCGAGCTAGGAATGGGTGAACGACCAGCCGTGGCCGCGTAGCTCCGCCAGATCCAATATGGAAGCTTGGATTGTATTTATTTTTTTACTTTTAGTACTTTCAAAGGGAGTAGGTACATTCTTAAGTCTAGATCAATAGGTCGTTTTATCTTCGTGTATGTGTGTAAGTTAGTTTCAGTAAATTGATACAATATTTTAATAAGAGTTCGCAGTTTCGCTCGCATGTCTTATAAGACTATAGTCCACATACATTAAACATGATTCTTTCTCTATGGGGGCGCGTATAACGGGAAGCTCAAGCATTGCATTTTGATCCACAGTTTCTTAAAGTGATCATGTCTATAGCTATACATTTAAAAATAGTAAGAATATCCATACTAATATTATAAATGTTAAAGTGTGTTTGTTTGTTTGTATTTCTTTCACGTCGAAACGGAGTGACGGGTTGGCGTGATTTTTTGTATGGAGATAGTTGGAGGGCTAGAGAGTGGCATAGGCAACTTTTTACCGCGGGATATTATCTAATACCCACGGGAAAACTCGTTATAAATTATAATACAACTCAAAAAAATATTTATGATCAGAATTAGTTGAAACTTGGAAATGCTCTTCAATACAATTAAATAAATGTGTTTCAGCATTTTTCGAAATTCATCCCATTAGCGGGTAAAACAGGGGATGAAAGTTTGTATGAAACCTACCTTTTTAGTTTTTTTGCAGTTTTAGCGCGAGCGAACCCGCGGGTTTTGCTAGTATATTATATATTTATTCACAGACAACGAGTCCATGGCGAGGTATACGCAATTATTCAATTTAAAATAATATGAAAAAAAAGGAATTCGAAGATATGAATTTAAGAAATATCTCGATAACTCTCGACAGCACGACGCTTTACTTTCTACATGATGGATCGGAACCAATATCGGTATAAACTACTTTCGTATATAAAAACTATTTTGACACAATAACACCGTTACAACCAGTACCGCCACTCACAGCCGTTTTGACATTCCAATACAAGTAGATACTTAATTGAAGCCTCATTTATTTTATTAGTAGACTAGCATTGCCCGCGGCTCCGTCCGCGTTCAGATGACCAAAAACTAAATTCTTAGGTTTTACATATTAGTGTACTCTTACATTACAGTTTTTGTATTTTTTTCTCAAAAATGAGATATTTTCCCGCAGTAAAATGTATCCTATATGTTGACCCGGATAACCAGCTATCACCATACCAAAATTTCATCAAAATCCCTCCAGTGGTTTTTCTGTGATGCGGTAACAGACAGACAGACAAAAATACTAAAAACTATAGATTCGGCCTCTGTATCGATAATTTAATGTCTATTTCAATAAGATTTTACAAAAAATATCTAATGTACAGATTCGGCTTAATTACAATATTATTATATGTATAGATACATCTTTAAAATAAAAGAAATACTAAGCATCGTTATACTTTTATTTGGCCCAAATAAGTTACAATCGCAGTAGAACAAGAGCTGTCGTTAAGAGTTGATAAATTTGAAACAGCTATAAATGACTTGACCCATATTGATATCTAAACTAATTATACATTATGTAGATTCTTATTGTTTGTACTTTTAAGTATATAATACTAGCAGAACCCGAGGCTTGGCTCGCGCTAAAACTACAAAAAAAACTCAAAAGATAAGTTTCATACAAAATTTCATCCCCTATTTTACCCCCTTATAGGATGAATTTTGGAAAATAAATAAAGTATAAATAGAGACAAAGTACAAATATTTTGGTAATACAAAACATATCTAATAAAATTATGTGGAGAGTGCAATAAAAAAAAACAATTAAAAATTTCAGCTAGCAATTCTGCTCTAACATTTATGAGTGTGTTTTGTAAATACTTCAACATTATTATTATGTAAATGTTCTTAAATTCTGATAAATATGAATAAAGAAAAAAACTGAATATAGTTTTTCGTAAATTGGATTGAGATCTTGGCAGGAAAAGATGATTTCTGTCTGTCACTATAATATGCATTTATCATTTATGAAACATTGTCGAATCTAAGTACATAATTATGTACAATAATATTTTATTCAGGACGTCTGTAGTGTCAAGCCACAGCTCTGCGGTCAATCTCAATGTCCACTTACGACAGAAGTTTATTTATATACTCGTATTTAAGCATTAACACAGTAGGTACTATATTGGTGAAACTTATTAAACAATACCCATATATTAATCTTTATATATATAATTCTTCTGTGAGTGTGTATGTCACTGAACTTCTCTCAAACGACTGGACCGATTTT